AATGGGCAGCAATGGCAGGAGATGGGATTGCAGGAGGAAAGGAAGAATTTGGGGCATTTCTCCCCCTGATTGGCATCTCTAATAGTGGGCTGTGCATCTTCCATGATTCCATCTCACTGGACAGCCCCCTCTGTGGCCTCAGCTCATGCTCTGTGGCTTTCCTCTCTGGGATCTAGTAACTTCACCTCCCTCCTTCTTCCTCCATCCCTGGAAGTACCTGACCTCTGTGGATTGCTCCAGCACTTCACCTTTGCACTATTTCCCTGAGTTAAATTCCTGCTCTTGAAGTGCCTATCATAGGTTCCTGGCTTGATCCCGATGATGGAGATTTCTTCTTTTCTTCCTCTTCTTTTTTCACAATGCTAGGGATCAAACCCAGGGTCTCATGCTAGGCAAGTGCTCTACCATGATAGAGATTTCTTAATGATTTCATCAGTTCATCTAAAAATACTTTTGAACAAGACGCTGGACTGGATTCTTGAAGGAAAATAAATAAAGCATCAAGCTTCTTAGTATGTAGTTGGAAAAATAATTTATCCAGTGTGCTATTGTTTGAATTCCTGTGAAAATCTCATGTTGAAATTAGAAGGCTATCATGATGGTATTGAAAAGTGGGATCTTTGAGAGGTGACTAGGTCATGAGGGCTTTGCAATCATGAATAGATAAATGCTGCCATTTTCATGGGAATGGGTTAATATCTCTCTATCTCATGAGCTCACTTACCCTTCTGCCAGGTTATGACACAGCCAGAAGGTTCTCACCAGATGCAACCCCTCAATCTTGGACTTCCCAGCCTCCAGAACTATGAGCCAAATAAATTTTTATTGTTTATAATTGACCCAGCCAGTGGTATTCTGTCATAGTGGCAGAAAATGGACTAAGACACAGTGTGAATGTTAAATAATATATATCCAATGCCAAGTGACTCCTGTAGTCAATTAATACTTTAAGATATAAAGAGGAGAGAGCCATCTCCATCTTCTTCTGTAGTCAGAGCATGCTTTAGAGGACCAGAAAATTGACATAAAGGGGTCATCTTTTAAAACTTCCAATTTTATAAGACAGGGTGAAAACTTACATGGAAAAGGGACTTTGTGGGTATAATTAAAGTTAAGGACCACAGGGAGATAGGAAATAGGGATGTTATCATGGATTACCTGCGTAGACCCAGTCATCATGTGAGTTTTTTTAAAGTGTGATGAGGAAGTGAATTGGAATTATGGCACATGAGAAGGACTCCCCAACCCTTTCCCATTGTCATTGGCTTTGAAGATGGAGGAATGAGGCAAGAAACATGGGTTGCTTCTAGACTTAGCATGACCCTCAATTTGTCACAGCAAGAAAATGAGAACCTCAGTCCTGTAACTTCAAGGAACTGAATTCTGCCAATAACCCTATTAAGCAGGAAATATATTATTTCCTAAAGTCTCCAGAAAGGAATTTCGCCAGTCATCACCTTGACCTTGACTTCAGGCTAGAAAGATGTGTGCTAGACTTATTACCTGTAGAACTCTGTGATAACAAATTTGTGTTTTAAGCTGCTAAATTTATGGTTCTTCATTATAGCAGCAAGAAGAGTCTAATGCACTGAAGTTCTCAATTGGAATTATTTGGCTGGTGTTACCAGCAATGCTATTAAATTCAAGAATGGATCGAGTATGGCAATGATGTGGGGTAATGAGGGCTGAGTTCTTTGGTATATTGAGGCAATGACAGTGGGATATTCACATGGCAGTGCTGAGACCATACTTGGCCACGTGAGAATGGCATTCAGGAGGTGGTGGCAATAACTGAGAAAAAGTGCCAGGGAGGTGAGTTAGGGAAAAGGACACCATGGAAGGAGGTCAGTTTCTTGAGTTTCCAGTTCCTCTGGCTCTGCTTGGCTTCCATTCTAAGCTTATGCTCACCAAACTCCTGCTCATAATTGATGGGCTTTGTCTTAAAAAAAAAAAATCACCAGGGAGAGACATTGAGTAAATTTTATAGATGGATCACAATAATTTTATTTATTGATTTAGACTGATTTCAGTAAATGAATAATGCTTTAACTTTTGCTCTTTATAGGTTTGCAAAGGAAAATCTGAAATTTTTAAATGTTTTTCCTTCCTTTGTTTATGAATCTTTTTAACAATGGAAACGTTTTGTCTTCCAAGAGTGGCATGGAGCTCAAATATATGACTCATTGCAAATGACGACCACCTCTTTATTGTAACAAGTGGGAAGTGAATTGGGAGAGACACAAGAGAAACATAGGCTGATGTTCAGGAAAGTGTAATACCTGTGAGGATGTCTTTATCTTGGACCAGGAGGACTGATACAGCACATCATAATTAGAGATAGAAAAAGTGAATAAATGTTAGTCACCAAGCAATTGGGTCCCCCAAAGCAAGCAAGCAAATAAACAAAACCAAATGGAAAAACTGCCAAAAGAAAAAGTAGGCAGTAACAATTTAACCCATTTTTTTCCTGTCATCCCAGATGTGGAACACATATAAGAACTTACCACTTATGGTAACTTTGAAATAATATTTGACTATTTATTATGCTTACAGAATTGAAAACTTGGGACTTTTTAAAAAATATTTTTTTTAGCTGTTGCTGGATGTTTATTTTATTTATCTCTTTATATGCAGTGCTAAGAATAAACCCCAGTGCCTCACACATGCTAGGCAAGTGCTCTACCACTGAGCTACCACCCCAGCCCCCAAAACTTGGAACTTAACAGGTTAAAAAATTGAAGCTTTAGCTTACTAGATTCCCTCTCTTCATCAAAGCAGATTGTTGTCTATCCTGTTGGGAGCTGCCAGGAGCCCTGTAAGTTCCAGGCTACATGCCCAGCTCTGCCTGCAATCAAAACCTATGAAATTTACATGTTGATCAAGTTTAAGCTCTTACTTATGAGTCCATGCCTGTCAGACCTGACTACCCAGGGATGGCCAATCAGTTTCATGGGTTTCCCTGGAAAATTGAGTCTCTGCTCTGGCTCTCTTCTTACCCTTGGGTTGCCCATTTCCTCTAATATCTAAGAAAGAGGTAAAACTGAACCCTTTTCCCTGGGAGTACATAGCTTTGGGTCAAAAGATTTGGCAGTAAAGATTAAAATTGTTAGCGCCTATGGTTAGTCATGGAGTGGAATTGTTAAGGAAGCTGTGTTAGGTTCTGTTGCACTTCAGCATCACTCTGCATCCCTATTCTCTGGTACTCCACTATCCCCCAGTACCTTCATCCTGTTCCCTGCCTTTGCCACACTCCTGCCCCACTCGGCTTCACCTACCCAAACTAATAAGTGTCATTCTCAGAGAAGCTCATGATGGTTTTCCCCAGTGCTTTTCCATATTACCCAGTATGGTAGGTCTTTTCTAGATGATCAAAAGAATTCAACCAGTTCAGATTAACTTATACTAACATGTGAATGACTGATTGCCCCCTAGTGCTCCCAAGAATGTTTTTTAAATTAACCCTTTAAAGGTTAACTCAGTAGATTCTGATCAATAGAATATAAAAGTAGCATGAGGGATAGGAAAGGCAGCAGAATACAACAGACACTAGTATGGCAGTATGTATAAATGCGGATGTATAACCAATGTGATCCTGCAATCTGTACACGTGGTAAAAATAAGAATTCATACCCCATTTGAATCAAATGTATGATATATGATATGTCAAGATCATTGTAATGTTTTGAGAACCAATAAAAAAATCAATTGAAAAAAAAAAGAACAGAGATTAAGGAAGAGGTCATTCTAATTACATTAGGGTACTAAGACAACTAACCACTCTGCCCATATTTGCCTTATTGGCTGCAGGGGAAGTGGGGAATTAAGCATCATTCAATCCTGTTTGAAAGCATAATTATGATTTTAATTATCCCTGAAAATAATAAGTACCCTGCCATCATTTCAGGAAAATAGGCTCCCATATGATAGTAGGTATATTTCATTATGCAACTTTAGTTTCCAAACATACTTATTCTTTCCTATTAATTGTATGTCAGAATACCACAAAGAAAATAACAATTCTTTTATAATTAATTTTTTTAACAACTTATAGCACCTCACGTGAGTGAAGGTTTGGGGAAATAACACTGTTGTGTATAGCAAAGGGTACTGTAAACTAATTTAAGTTTTCTATAGGGCATTTTGACAACCAAAATTCATGGAATTTCTGAAAGAATGAGCCATGTGTGTATGCAAAAATCCAGCATTATTTGTAATGAAAAATTGTCCACATCAAAATGCTCATTAAAAAGGAAATCTGTCATAGATAAATGTTAAATCCAATCATTGAAATGCTAAGCATTTATCACAATTTGTGGAAATTTGTTTAATGATATAAAACAATAAATAGTTTTGTGTAATATGATCCTTCTTATTATACATTTAGATATATACATATGTACGTGAATATACATTAATATACATATGTAGATATACACATGGAAAATAATATATACTAAAATATTAATGTCATTTATTTCTGGTGGCAAAATTATAGGTGGCTTTTCTTTTCTTTTTCTGTCATTTCTGAAGTTTCTCCAGTAAGCATGTATTATTTTACATAGAGAAAAAAAGAGAATTACTTTTAAGGGACATGAGCATTTTCTCCAAATTAATAACTCAATAGCTCTTGTAGTTTGTACACTGAGAGGTGTCTGATCAGATTGAAATTATATACAAGAGGTGGCAGAATAAGCAGAGCTAACATCTGTGCTAAAAAGAAGCACAGTTCATGGAAGTTTAATTTATGCAGATGTACACATTTACTTCTACACATTTTAATGAATATTAGGCAGTAGCTGAAGTTTTTAGTCATCATTTCTAAGAGATGTCTTTGTAGAGAATTCAAAAGGATTGATCAATGTCAAGAATAATAGTAAATTAACATACTGCCCTCTTTTGGTAGCTATTTACAACTCAGATTCATTGCCACTAAAGATGTTCATCTCCTACAAATTTGTGCATAAAGTAAACTAATTTTAAATCACCTTTTTCCTTGACAGAAAATGCTGATAATTCCAGTTTGTTATCACCATCTGGTAAGACTGTTATTTTATGACTTTGGGGAATTTCAGGAAAATATTATCCCAAAAGTTCTCCACACAGTATGGCATGTTGTCAGTGATAGCAAAATTGTTTTTCTGCAAGTAGCTTAATTAAGTTATGTCATTAAACCTACATCTGGAAAATCAATAGCAAACATAGACAAGAAGACAGCCATATTGATTCTTCCGTATTGCCAAACAAAGCTGGGGAGTACAACACTGACAAATAAATTGTGGGTTTACATCATGGTAGCTGCTTAAGTTCTTCAGTTCTTTTTGGTGTTCTAGTTCACAAATTTTCTGAAGAGTATCAAGAACTTAAACATGCCAAATGTTTTTATATTTGCATGATGAGATATTCTCTTAAACATGCTTCCTCAGTACCCTCATTGAGTATTTCTCAAAAGGCCTCCAAAAGCTTAGCACTTGCTAGAATAGGGAGGCAAATAAATTACAGATAAATTAATAACTAGAACCCATATTAGCAGGAACTAGGAACAGTATCCTATTTCCAGATTGATAGCTGCGATGGAACCTTAGGGATAAAATAGCCCAGCTCCAGTCCTTAGCTGATGAGAGAATGAAGCCCATAGCACCTCAGTAACTTGTCGAAGACCTCACAGCTTCTTGCTCCACATCATACAGAGGCAGCACATGGCTTCTCTGATTTCTTCCTGCTGTACCATATAGACTAGAATGATCTCTCATGATAAAAGATGAGCCAACTCACATTTTATCCTTAGTTGTGTGAAAATGAGCTTCTACTATTATTCATTTAAATGGAATTAATAATAATGACAGTTGTTTCTTGTGCACATACTACATGCCTAGAAGTCTTCAAACATCTTCCCATTCCTCTCAGTGTTGCAGGATAGGAATCATTATTTGTATGTTACAGATGAGGCTCAGCAGGGAAAACTTGCTCATGATCATACATTCTCTGGAACCAGACTATTAGAGTTTGAATTTGGCTACCACCCTCCCACCCCCATTGCCAGCTCTGATTTGGGGCAAGTTCCTTCACCCTTCTATGCCTCAGTTTCCTCCTCTATTAATTAGAAGAACAGTACCTGCTTCATTGGGTTTTTGTGAAAATGAAAGGATACATGTGCCTGGCACAGAGTAAGCCCTTACTAAATTAACTATCATTAGTATGAGTTACTAAGTTATGGGGCAAAGATTTGTACCTGGACTGCATGCCACCAAAGCCCAAGCCCTTTTTACCATGCCAATTTGTCCCCTGGTTATTAAGCTTCCAGGGTAGAGTAGGCCAGTGTATTTTTCTTTTAGTAGAATAACTTTCAGCGAACTTGATTATGATGATATCTGCAAAATCTTGTTTGCAGAGAATGAGGAACAGGGCTTTGCGGGTACACACTGGCACTAGTCACAGCCTAGGTTCTGAGTGCCCTGGGGAAGAGCCAATGTAGCATTGAAGGGCAAAGACAGCTGTGCCCATAAGCCTCTTCTTTGTGTGATATCCCCATTCATTAACATTTGGAAGAACGAATAGTCATTAATTAAAAACCAGCTCTGACCAGTTATTTTGTTCTGCCCCAATCGCAAAGAAGTCCATATCTGCACTTTGATTTTATCCCTCAGGAACTGTCTTACTCCTCATGAAATATCCTTGCCAACTTAAAAAAAAATAAATGTAGCAAATGACAAAATATGGAAGCAATAATGTGGGACAGACAGGGTGTGTGTGTTTCAGCCAATGCATGAGCAGTCTAAAACAGACAGTCCAGCCAACCATCTTGACACACCCAAAGTTTGTCCATACCAGCTGAAAAATCAGGCTTCAAAAGGCTTCTAAAAGCTTAGCACTTGCTAGAATAGGGAGGCAAATAAATTACAGATAAATTAAAAACTTGATTTAGTTGTAAAATGTTTGTGTTTGTTTTTCTCATGTTTAGGTAGAGGTCAAGCCACTAGATCTTTTTAATATTTAAACATGTAAGATGTGTGTAGTAGGTTGACCTCTTAACCTAAATAGAGTCACTCCACAGGAAATTTATTACTCAATTGATTGTCTTAATAGCAGCCATATTTTAAAATAGCTTCCTGGGAAATTGTGTTAGGTAGTACAATATTGAGTGGTATCAATTTGTCTTTATAATCCTAAATTCACTGTGGGATGAGTTGCCAGGCACCGTTGTAAGCCAATATGTGAATATATTTCATGATTGTAGTTCAACACATTATTTTAAATGTTTTCTAGAATTCTCTTGGTTGAAAATTTTGAATGTAATATTTCTTTTATTTTGGTGTGTTTCCTAAGATTATTTCCATGATATTCCATAGGTAGTAGCAGGCTTTGTGATCATGGGTCTCAGAGCATGTTTTCTTTTTATATTTATACCTCAGAAGTTCTGATTAATACATAACTGTTTCAAAGTATTTATTTTAAAATTTTCTTTTTCTCTCCTGCAGCTGAATCATCTCTTGTCAGTTTTGTCCCCTACTCCAATGGTACTCCAGGCAAGACTTTGAAAAAATTTAAACATAGATTTAGCCCAACTTGTTAAATTTTTGTTTTAATGATACCTTGTATTGTTTTTCTCCTTGTAACAAAAAGTGGCTGAAACTACAAGCCTCAATGGTAAGAATTTTTCTGGAGCAAGTGAAAACTGATAACTGTTAATATGTATATAAGTATAATGAACATTGTGGCAGATTTCCATCTCTAAATTATTTCTGAATACATTAAATAATTTCAGAAAACCCCAAACCTGACAACCCTTAAGAGTGACCTAAACTTTCTGGTTAAATAATAAAATTATTATGATCACAGAGGGAAGACAGCCCTCCACCACTCTTAACTGCTCTAGAAAAGAAATTTTGAGTACTCCATTTCACTTGCTGTACAACACAATGCCATAAGGTTTTGCATGACAGATGTTTAAATGTGAAAAGCACATCCAGTGACTTCAATATGATTCAGCATGGATTTGAAGGCACAGAGTGTTCAAAGACAGCCTTTTTACAGATGATTTGATCGATTTTTAGAGAGTATGAAATGGGGGAAAAACTGGCTTCCTCACTGTGCTAGAGAAAAGGACAGAGCTTTGTGCTGTATTCAAGGGAGGTAGGCCGGGCGGCACATTCTGTTCCATCCTCTTTGTGGGTAGATAGCCTTCCATCTTACTGCGGTCTAACCCCAACACTTTTCAGAATCACTTAGTTAAAATAAAATCTCACCATGTGGTTGGTGGTTAAGGAGCTAATCATAGTTGCAACTTATACTGATCAAAAACTGGTTTAAATTCATATTTGGACCAATGGGAAGAGCCAAAGGTTATAATTTTTATGTGTAATTACTTTTTACAGTGAAAAGAACATCTTCAATTTAGCTTTGTAGCAGTGTTTGGATCTGTGTGTGTGTGTGTGTGTGTGTGTGTGTGTGTGTGTGTGTTAAGTGTGATAATGTGATACCTTTTATTTTTTTCCTTAAAAAAATTTTCATCCAGAATAATAAATTCTTGAATGCTTTTCATTTAAAGAAATAACAATAGAATAGATTCAAAGTTGGATTTTAGATCAAACACTATCAAAAGAGGTTTTTCCTAAAAGTTAGTTGAATGTACTGTTTAAGAACTCCAAATTTAGGGGCTGGCATTGTGGCTTAGCGGTAGAGTGCTCGCCTAGCATGTGCAAGACCCTGGGTTCGATCCTCAGCACCGCATTAAAAATAAATAAGTGAAATAAAGGTATATATAAAAAAGAACCCCAAATTTAAACTAGACTTAGTTAAAATTACTTTAAAAGACTATACCACCGGAAGAAACATTCAGCCTCCCCACTACTATCTACTAAAGTTGATATCAACATTTGAAATTTCATATCCCTTAGGGAATTTCATTATTGTAAAGGACAAAAACTAAACAACATAAATGAGTTTATTTAAATCTAATAATTATGGGAGTGTTGTTATGTGTTAGATATGTAACTGGCATTCAGGAAACACATTTTGAAAGAACAGACATTTGTTCAATTAATCTTCAGGAGTGGGAGAATGGATAGTAGTAAGGGGATGGGCAGCAAATGCATACTTTTGCAAAACTAACTTCTGGATTTTAGGAAAAGTAAAATATTTAAGGAATGTTAGAAGAGTCATGTTTGTTAACCATGCCAGTAGTTACACTAATTTTTATTATTTTGTTTCAGATGCTACTTCCAGTGTATTGTCTACATTAAACAAGACAGGTAATATCAAGTTATTTCTAAATGTCATAGCTTTTCTTCTATGACTTCTTGAGTTTTTCACTTGTGTGGTCTACGGGTTAGTAAAGAGAAGTTTTCCTTTGCTAACTTTCTTGAGCTTTCAACTATTATTATTCCTTTGACTTTGACATTGAATTATAATTCTGTTGTCATCACTCTCAAACTTATGAACTATTATGGCAGTAGCACTTCATTTAAATAACATTTATTATCACAGTGATACATGGTAGCTCATAAAAATGGAAAATATAGAGAAATACAAAGAAGGAGGATAGAAATCATCTTTAATGTTACTTTTCTAAGACTTACTGTTAAAATTTGGTATATTTTCATTTAGTATAATATATGCATGTATTTATATACATATATCTTATGTATATGTCCCTTGCAAAGTACTCATAGTTTATGTAGATTTTTATATCTTGCTCTTCTGACCTAATATTAAATTATAAGTATTTGCCAATATCTCTTGCTTTTAATGACTTGATAACATTCCATTGTATACCATATGTTGAACACTAAAGTTGTTTCTATTTTTTTAATAGAGGTTATTCCAATGAACATCCTGGTGCCAATACTTTTCATTCATCCTTGATTTCTGTAGGATACATTCCAAGGATTGGACATAAAGTATGAATATTTTAAGGCCCTTGACACCCACTGTCCAATTACCTTCCAGAAGGGTTGTGTCCAGCAACATTCCTTGAAGCAGTGGATGAGGTTATATATGTCACTGTACCTTTGTTAGGATTATAGTATATTATTAATTTTTTCTCTCAATTACTTAGGTTTTCTTTTCTTTTCTTTCTTTCTTTTTTGGTAGCAGGGGATTGAACCTAGAGGGCACTTACTCACTGAACCATATCCCCAGCCCTGTTTTGTATTTTGTCTAGACACAGGGTCTCACTGAGTTGCCTAGGGCCTCCCTAAATTGCTGAGGTTGGCTTTGATCTCGTGACCCTCCTGCCTCAGCCTCCCAAGCTGCTGGGATTACAGTATACCATTGCACCCAGATTATTTTTCATTATTGATTATTAATGAGGTTGAATATCAGGGCAAACAAAACAATATATTTAAAGGATTATTAATGATAATGCAGTCTCTGTAATTACTACCAACCATTGCCCATGAGTCACATAGTGAAATGAACTCATCAATAGCACACACACACACACACACACACACACACACAAATGAGGTTTTTGAAGTTGTCAATATAACATCATCATTCATAAGTGTTATCTCCAAGCTTAAAGCTTATTCTTTTATTCAGAATTTCCCCATCTGCACTAGGAGACAGAACTTTGCAAATCTGTGCCCTGAACACAGCCTCTTATAGTTGGCCATCCTGATGGCATGGATTGCTGAATCTGGTTCTCCATTATCTGGCAAATGAACCATGGGCTTTGTCTCCCAACTGTAATGTAATGATATTTTTAAGGTTTGCTTCTTTAGAACATGTTAATATTTGCCTGTGAGTTCCTAACTTTAAACAGTTCTGGTTCTGCTGTGGGCTTGTTGTGTGACTATAGTTGGATGGTTTTGACCTCTCTCAAAATAGTTTTATCTATCAGTACAATAGGGATAACTGTTAAAGCAAACAGCAGGATGCTTGACTGTAGACTGCAGTAGCAGTATTTTAGATCCTATGTGTATTGACTCACATTAATTTTGACTCTGAATCACCTACCCTTTACAACCTATCACCCAGAGGTCCTGAGAGTGACTTAATTCCACGTATCTGAAATTCACATTTGTTGGTCTAGCAGCAGTGCCTGGAAACTGGAGTAGAATTACACAAGCAGTGGGGTGTGTAATGGGTGTGATCTAACTGGGTAAACATGGGAATCCAACTCCCAGGCCCACCCCATGCCAATGCTACAATTTCTGTGCAGGTCCCCATTCCACTGCTGAGATGACCAATCATGTCTTAAAAAGATGTCAACGGTGTGATTTTTCTTTGCACTTCACTAAAAAATTATATTCATGGCAAAGTGTTTTTTAAAAACAAGCAACAATTGTGCTCTAATATTTAAATTGCTTCTTTGCAGAAAAAACTAAAATCACTATAGTAAAAACCTTCAATGCATCAGGTATGACTTATTATAAATATCAAGACTTTCTTCTTTATAACTAAGGTAAAATTAAACAAATGGCTGGTGTTTATGATCTCTTTCTCTTTTTTTAAAAGTAAAATCTGTTCTTAATGAATAGATGTGTAGGTACTGGGTATCTGAAGTTGTACTAGACATTAAGGGCTGTATAATAATGATCAGGCACAGTGCCCTCTCTCAAGAATCTTCTAGTCTAAGAGGGAGACAGGTCAAAGAAGCAGGTCACAAATGTGAACATGCATGCAGATAAAGGCAATAATTCCACCAGGATTTCTCTTTCTCACTCTCTTTTTTCCCCCTTGGTGTTGGAGATCAAACCCAGGGCTTCTTGCATGCTAAGCATGTACTCTACCACTGAACTACACCCACAACCCCACAAGCATTTCTCATGATTAAGAGACATAGGAGGTAGAAGGACTAGTGGTAATGAGTTTATGAACAGGATGCAATTAATGAAAGAGAGGAGTAAACCTCAAATTCTTTCTAAAGCAAAGCAAGGATATACTTTTAAGTACCTAATACAAGACTAGGCATACAAGATATACTTAACAAAGACTTTTCTTTTCTCTTTCTTTCTTTCTTTCTTTTTTTTTTTTTTTAAATACAGGGACTTGCTAAGTTCTCTAGGCTAAAAAGGCCTCAAACTCGTCTTCCTCCTGATTCCAGCCATCAGAGTAGCTGGGATTACAGGCATGCACCACTGTGCTCAGTTTAACAAAGCCCTCTGATTGACTTCAGACAGGGGTTGGCAAACTATTGCCAATGGGCCAAATCTGGTTCATTGCCTGTTTTTGTAAAATATGTTATTGGAACACTGCCATGTCCATTCGTTTACATATTTTCTATGGCTACTTTTCTGCTACATAGAATGGTAGAGCTGAGTAGTTGCAACAGAAAACATATAACCCACAAAGCCTAAAATATTTAGTATCTGACCCTTTTCAGACAGTTTTCTCATTCAGGATTTAAGGAGTGACCAGTAAGTAGCTGTAGTGCAGATAATGGGCCTAGAAACAGGAAAGAAAATTCTCGATATGAAAGAGCAACAAAAAGACCCACATCACTGGAAATGGAGATGCAGGTAGAGATGGTAGAATGAAAAGTATAGCAAGAATGGATCAATGCTTTAAAGAAAGCATTACTACCCACCATCTATATATTCTATAACATTTGCATTGTATGTATGTTATAGTGAGCTATAAGTAACTATATTTAAAGTGAAATCTTCCTCTTCTGGTGTGGGTAACATTGCTATGGAAGAATATAGAAATCTTTATCTAACTTTGGGCACCTAAATTCAGTTTGTTCACAGAATCAAAACTCTTAGCTGAAGCATGATGCCCGTACACCAATAAATCATTCTGACCGAAACCATATCACTCGCACTAAGTCAAATTATAGTTTTAATAGTTTTCTATTTCTATTTCAAATAATAAGTTTTATAGTTTTTTCATAGGACAAACATGTAATGAAAATTAACTAGCAATTGGCATTGCATACATAATTCTGACCATACAGAACCTAGCAAAGAGACTGAAAGATTCCTTAATATAACCCTCTTTTCCCCTTGGCAATTTGCTTAGTACATTGTCAGCATTTGCCCCTCCCATTTACTATGGATTTCTTATGCTTCACCAAAAGATGCAATTAGTGAAGGAAAGACTCTTAGAGAAGTAAACCTTGAGCTCTTTTCAAACAAAGAGATGTACTTCTCCTTTCACTAAAGGAAAAAGTGTTTCTCACATACATCTGTTTGGAGTTTTTGTTCTAACATGGTTCATTTCTTCTCCCATTCTGCCTCCTTGGTATGCTCGTGTGATCTGAAGTCCTGATTAGCACTAAAACTTTTTATATACTGGCCAGTATCGACCTCTAGATTGTAAGCTCCTTGAGGGCAGGGTCTATATCTGAACCTCCCCAAACCTGTAGAATATGGTAGGTGCACAACAAATACCTTTTGAATTTTGTAGTTTTTGCTCATGAAACAATATCATGACATTAATGTTATTTCATACATACATTTGCATAGAGAGCTAGGACTAACATTAGAGTATTTGGGGACTCTCCAATCCAGGAAGGGAAAGACAATCTTTGAGGCCTATTCCATTTATGGTCTCTATACTTGATTTGTTACCTGGTGCTCTGTTTTATATTGGACAAGCAAAAGGTTAATTGTGAATGAAACAAAAAAATTTTAGGAAGGAGTTGAAGGTCAGACACTGACATACTATAGAATAGTAAAGAGTCAAGTTCCATAGCTGACCAACTAAATGAAGACTCTCATTCCTTTAGTCTCTGTGAAATTCATCCAGCCAGTTTTATCCAGTTTCTTAATATTTTTGGTCCACATTTGCCTACGTTTGTGAATATTCTTGACAATGTAGTATATAATTGCAGGTGTTGATGTGCTTAACCAGCTAGGTTGTTGTTTTTTTTGCAGGAGTCAAATCCCAGAGAAATATCTGCAATTTGACATCTATTTGCAATGATTCAGGTTAGTTCTTGTGTACATTATACATTACCAGATAAATTTGTTCCATAGAGAAAAATGATTTGATTTGGTTTTTTCCTGTTGTGTATGTGTGTGCCTCTCTGAGATGTCTATTTTTATACCACCTGGTTACCAAAAGTCCCTAATAAAACAAAAGTGAATTTTAGATCTGGCTGGAATTATCTTCCCATTGTTTAGTGAAAGGATGAATTAACTTCCTTAATATGAGACATAAAGTGCTACAACAAATATTTTTCACTGTAGCTTTAAATTCATAACTAATACTCTTAGTGTTAATTCATGAATAATAATGAAATTATTACTAATTAGTGAAAGTCACTTTTTGTATATAAATCCCTCAAGCTTTCCTGTAGGACCTTAAATAATATAGCTTAGAAACAGGATGTTGTCCTTTGCTAAGAATAAAACAAACCTGACTGCTAGAATGTTGAAACCTCATATACAACTAATTCAACTAAACGCTAATTCCAGTTGTGTCCATATTGTGTTTTGCCATCTCTAACCAAGACTGTCCACTATTTTTTAAAGTTAAGATGGAAATCTCTTGAGAACAAGCTATTTTAAAATAGGAATATTTTTCTTTCTGCCATGGGCCAGAGGAATGAAATAACCACTTTTCTCACATTGATTTGGCTCTCTGGGCTCCCCACGTTATGAAAACCAATGAAAGCAAAAGTGAAAAACAGAAAAATATGATGTGGCATGTCAGAAAGGGTTAGGAGATCATGGGAAGAGAGAAGAAAATGGTAACAAGGTATTTTATGATATTAAAATCTTGGTATGTCTCCAGGAATAAACAATCATAGGTTTTCCCCCTTTTATTCTGTTCCTTTGAATAGTTTTAGAATTTGTTTGAAAAACATAGATAACAATTTCAAGTAAAATAACTTAAGGTTGGATAAATTAGAGAACGTGAAAAAGTAGAAACACTTTCTATTGTGTGAATATGAGATTTGCTCATCTGAGCTATCTGCTGATATTATGCTCTGGGTGGAATATAAAAAGGAAATATTAGGTGATTTTGATGAAAGGAATGAATTATAGGATACATTATATAATAAATAATTATACGTATGTATACACACACACATATTGTATCTCTTTTCTTCCTCCTTTTCTCCCTCCTTTTTTACTCTTCTCTTTACTGAATTCCCCATAAAGTCATTATTTTTGTGCCTCATCCATGTTTTAGGCTGGTGACTAATGTCTAGCTCCGTGTTGTGTCTACATATTTGATAACTGTTTGAAAATTGAACTTGTAGTCAAAAAAGAAAAACCTGGTCATCTTGAATAACAGATGCCAGAAAGCTGGTTGGTGTAATGTTTTCCCCAATTAAGTGACTGAATTGACCATTTGTTTTAGTGTGTGGTGAAAACAACCTCATCAGAGAACCAACTCTTCTGGCACCAGAAATACCATGATATCCTGCCAGAAACTAGAAACCTTTGCTTTTTGCAGCTTTCCAATGTAGGTCCATTAAAGGACGTGGAGGCTGGTGAAGAAGTAGAGAGATGACCAGGAAGAGTCAGACTAAGGGTCAAATGTGATGGCTTCTTGGTTGCCCTGTGCAAACCAGAACTACTGTGCTCCCAGCACATTTATGAAATTCACCATGCACTCAAGAATGTGAGGGAGAGAAATTGTGGATTTCAGTGTTCACAGACATACAGAATCTAAATATGCTTTTAAAAGCTAAAGGTTTTTAAATTTTTTTAAATGGATAAGTAATGCTATGCAGATATCAAGTATATTTACTTTTAATAATTATATACTGCATTAATTGAAATTTCAGTATCAATATTTAAAAATTGAAGTTCTCAGTAGAAATAGGTCATGTTAATCACTGCTTATGTGGCTTTTTCAGCCATTTTTAAGTGGAAGTAGACCATAGGATACATGGCCATGGGAATCAGTTGTAGTACCTTGGGTGCAATAAAAGAGGATGAGTTGAGGAGGCGTTCAACTCTGACTCAGGGGTTGGCAAATTACTGCCTAGAGTCCAAATATGGCCAGCCACCTGTTTTTGTAGATCAAGTTTTATTGGCCTACATCCATGCCCATCTATTTACATATTTTTTGTGGTTGCTTTCATGATCAGTGGCAGAATTACAACAGAGAACATAAAACCTCAAATATTTACTAACTGGTCACCAAAAACATTGGCCAAACTCTACTTTGGTGTATATGACATCCTTGCCCCATTGCTCAAAAGGCCAGGTTTGGGTTCCTGTGATGAAATGCATACTTTGCTGTTTAAGAGTCTCCATTTTATTTATTTCCAGATAGAGCCCCCTAGGTGTACCCTACAGGAAATAGGTTGACTGAAATTGAATTTAATATTTCCCAAAGTCAGCATTTTAAGAACAAGGTTTTCTGGCAAATCTGAAGAGAAAGCAAAAATGAGTTGTTCAACTGAAGGAAGAATTTTCCTGCACACTATTCAGGTTTCAAAGCAAAATCTCAGTTGTGTTTCTGGGAAAGATATTGCATTTGGTAGTTGTATTTTAAAAACAAAAACTAAATTGAAAAACTGATGAACAATAAGTAGACTTCCATAAGGCTGCTTAGCTGCTCCTTTCCCCCTCCCTCCTTTATTTATGTAACTGTAACTATAACTTTAAAAGACATTTTTGTTTTAAGTTAACATCAAAGTCACAGTTCCCCTAGATTTTGTGGGTTTTTTTTTTCTTTTTGTTTTTGTTGTTTATTTATTTTTTCAGTATTAGGGATTAAACTCAGGGCCTCACACGTGCTAGGCAAGTGCTATACTACTGACGTATACCCCTTTTTATTTTATTTTGGGACAGAGTCTCACTAAGTTGTCTAGGGTGGCCTCAAATTTGTGATCCTTCTGCCTCTGTCTCCAGAGTTGCTGGGATTATAGCCACCACACCTTGTTCTCCCACTTACCTTTAAAGGAAACAAAGTTGTTTTTTTTTTTTTTGAAAAAAAAGCAGATGGGGATATAAATTTCTTCATAAGGAGACAAGTTCCTCTCTTTCTGAATTCCCACATAAAATTTATAGTTCATATTTTCTAAAAATTATGTTGACTATCATTGAGTAGCTTATTGATAGGCAAGAGAGTAAATGGGAGTAAAAACAAAACTGTTTATAAAGGAATTTGCTAATCTTTTCATGTGTTGTATTAATCCTCAAATTGTAAGGATACAAGTCTCAAATTTCTTTTTGAAAATTTATTTTTAGTGTTTTTTAGAGGTGAGATAATGTTTCAATATGATGAAGAACACAACATTACCCAGGTAGGTTTTAAAGTTTTTTTTCTTATTGTACTCTTAAAATGTGAATTTGCATGTATTTAAAGATTTGTTGAAGGTTCAGATTATTTATCCTATTTGCATATTTACTTTTATGCCACATTTAAATAAAATATGTATTATTGAATCCCTAGCTTTATGGTAAGAACTTGAATCCATAATCATAGTATCTTGTTAATAATTATAGTTTAGTTTTCACTAGGTTTGCTGCTAAATAAGAATGTTAATATGATGCAATTTCATTACCAGTTTAAAATTTAAAATTATCTTAAAACCTCCTAGCAACAAGAAATATCTATATTGAGTCTAGGAATAATCTTCCGTATCTAATTGTGTTCCCCATATGGGGGGTTCAGTTACAATGGTATCAACCTTCCCATAACCTATATTGGTTCAGAGAATCCCAGACAAACATGTTATTCATTTGGTGAATATTCCCTGGGCACCAACTATATGCTAGGCCACGAACTAGGTGCTAAAAATGCAGTAGTGGCTGCTATCGAGTTTCCCTTTATACATTGGGGTCTTGTTACTTAAATCTGGGGCTGTCATGAAGAGAGCTTTACTAGTGTTCTTTTGAGGGAACCCTTGAATTGAAAAAAGACAGAAAATAGCACATAAGAGCTGCTGACTCAGGATTTCTTTTAAGAAAACATAAACCAGAAACTGGCTTAGCCAGTTAATATTGATTAACTTTTGAGTACCACTCCCTCCACCCTTTCTATGTAACAGCAATTTGGGAGCTAGGGATATAGCTCAGTTGGTAGAGTTCTTGCCTTGCATGCACAAGGCCCTGCGTTCTAATCCCCCCCAACACACACATACATACATACACACACACACACACACACAAATTAGTTGAATCTATGTAACAGCAATTTGATCATCTGATGGACAATATTCCATGGATTAGGATTCAGTCTTTGGGGTGTAATTCTTTGAGTGTCTAACAAAAGTGCAAAACAACTTCTTGTTAGAGTATATAACAAACAAAAACAAAATAAGTGATATTCATTTTATTCTTAATTTTTTGCTTCCAACAGAATCAAGATGTAACTAATGGCACCTACTCTGGAGTGCTGTCTCTAAGTGAATTGAAGTGAGTACTCTACTGTTTGATTGAAAATTTCAGACATCAACTGTGGAAAGATACTTGATGAGCTGTTTTTGCTTTGGAAACCAAGAATGGGAAGAGACAGACCCAAAGGATATAGAGTTAATTTGTTCTTGCTTACTAACCAAACTAACCAAAGTCAGCTATCATCAACTATTACCCCCATGAGGTTGTTCTCTCTGATGCTGTGAAATTACACAACAATTTCATTTGAGTTATTTGCATTTTAATGTGATTTGGTATCCAGCATGATTCAAAGGGTTCCAGATAGGACTCCATGTATACCGTTTGTTTATGTTTTTCATGAAGCCTCAGTGATTCAAAAGTCAGAGAAAGATTTTTGTTAAGTAGACCTCGGCTTACAAGGACAAGAACAATGAGAAATGCATTATAAATAGCTGCCCCCAGTTAGAGCAGAGTTTGAAAATGTCAGCCAACAAGATGGCCTAGGACATAAATAGTCTTACTCTGTCACAGAGAGACACAACTTCATGAAGGGGGCATATACAGAGTACCAAAAGACATCCCAAGGATCAGACAGTAGAGCAGGAGGAGCAGTTAGGTGTGCTGGAGGGCTCTTGGAAACTCCCAGGAAGGAGGTGATCTCTGAGCACAATCAGAGGAGTGAGTGGCTCCTGCCAGTTTGAGGAGCTAGCTGACTATTTCAGTGGTCCTTCTCTTCTTCCTTTCAGACCTTGCCTGGAGCTATCTAGAACTATTGCCCATTCCTTGGAGCAGGTTTCTCCCCCTCAGCAGTATTGGCATTGGCACCGGCACTATTAAGCTTGAGGATTCTTTGTTTTGGGGGCCTGTCTTATGCATTGTAGGACATTTAACAGTATCCATGGAGTAGTACCCTCCCAGCCAGCCCAACAACCCAAAATGTCTCCAGACATTGCCAAATGTCCTCCCACCCCTCACTGAAAATCCTTGCCTTAGGGCGAATTCTTTAATTAGATTTCTTTCATCCTAACTTCAGTGAAACTCTGAAATGTTGAAGAAATGAAAATATTGTTGGAATGGGAATGGTAGAGAGGATTGAGAGAAATTCCTGAAGGGGAGTTGTGAGGAGGGGAAGGCAGGGCTGGAGAGTGCTAGAGAGGGCAGGCTGTTTGAGTTGGAGAGGAATGAGGAATTAATCAGAGGTATAGGGTAAGTGGCTTGCCCCTCTCAGAAATGCTTGCCTGGGGCCAGCTCTTCCTCTGGCCCTCTGCCAGAAGAAGCTGGTGTGTGTGTGGGGGGGTGCACTAGCTTAATGAATAACAAGATTGTTCTACCATAATTTATATCTTGCTCTTAGCTAGAACCAGTACAGCTCCCGTCTGATTAGTTTCCCCTGACATATAAATAATTTATTTTTCCCACATAGCAATCTCTCATTATGCCCGGTGTTTCTTCAAAGTGAACACTGTGAGCAATAAATACCACATGCTTGATTTAAATGCTAAAAATCTAACTTGTTTTGAATTTCACATCACTAATGGTCGCCTTAATGTCAATTTCTCTGATTTTATTAACAGACGATCAGAGCTCAACAAAACCCTACAAACCTTAAGTGAGGTAATCACAGTATACCCTGTACCTTGTTTGTAATCATTGTTATTATTTGGGGGGAACCATGGAGTTTTGTATTCCCTGGGAGATATGTATTCAAATTCTCCCAAATATGTCATGTAAAAGAGCGAATGGACTAGCATCCAAAAGTCAGAACTAGGAGCAGTGGGTAGATATGAAGGAGATAGATTTTCCTTCCTGTAAGACCAAACATTTCTTAAAATGAAAACTCCAGGAGAATGTGCTCCCTCATGTACTACTGAGCTTTCTGGTGCTGGAGGAATCCCAAGTAGAACTTGTATGACCTGAATAACTTTTATCTAGCAGGAGTATAAAAGGGGTGATCTCTAGGGATACTCGTAGTTCTAAAATTCTGTGATTCACCCTGGGTCGTCTTTTCCAGCTGTCAAAATAACATATAATTTTGTTTATTTCAGACTTATTTTATAGTGTGTGCTACAGCAGAGGCCCAAAGGTCAGTCATCTTAAATTCTTTAATAAATATTTATTATTTCTCCATTTGGGAGAAATAAAGTATTAAGGAGTCTTCATTAAGTTGTAAATTCACAGGCTTTCCTCTAACATAAATACATAGTTATTAGTGACATTTTGGATTTATATAGTTTTATTTTTCCTAACACTGATCATTTCGTCACTCTATCTTTTAATTTCCTTATCAAGCACTGAGGGAGAGGTGTCTGATATTAGACCATTTGCCTCTGATTCTATGAGGCTGAGGCTCATCAATGTTCTTATCTCTGAGGGCTACCAATATGACCAAAAAATGGCTCATAGTGGTCCAGGCATGGTGAAATTCAGACAGAAAAGAGGAAACACAATATGGAACTCAGAATGAGAAGAAAGAGGGAAGGAAAAGATTGGAGGAAGAAAAGAGAAAAGTAGAAATTAAAATGTATACAAGAGAAAATCAGAAATTGTCCAACAATTATTGGGGTTGCACAGATAAATAACCCTTTTAAATTGCATCCATTGGTTGTCCTGCGTAAGCCTGCATTAGCCAGTGGCTTATACAGCAATAATCTCACCATGAGAACCATGAGTGTTCTATGAGAGTCCAAGTCCTAGAAAATGATAATTTCCACTCATCAAACTGTTCATTGGTACAAATCATGACAAGTTTTCCATGAAATTATAAGTTGACTCTCTGTCCCCTATTTATGTTTTTAATTCAGTTCCCTTGCCTCTTCATTTTTTGCAGCATTATTTTTTTTCCACCTACACCAAGACTAAAGTAGAAAGAAACAGGGAGAATGTCTTAAATTCTTAGTTATCTGATAATCTAGATTGCCAGAGAGATTTGGGATTTAACAGACCTTGACATTCATCTAGACTGGTTTGTGAAAGGGTTCCCATGATGGAAACTCAAATGTCTGTAGACACCAAGCAAGTAGCCAGCTGTGGCAGTGGGAGACTAAAGGTGTCAAGGTGCTTACCTTTGCAACCAAGTCTCACCCCAGTCTGTTCATTGTACAGACAGGCAAAACAAACCACAAGCATCTGTTTGCAACATCTATGAATGTGAATCTCTATAAATGTCATATATAACATTCTGGTTATATATTTCTCTTTACAGCACATTAAATTGTACATTCACAATAAAACTGAATAAGACAATGAATGTGTGTGCTATAATGGTTGCTTTGAAAAGAGTACATATTCGACCAATGGGTAAGTTGTCTCTATTGCTGTGTTCATTTATTCATTACTCTCGATGTGTGCTTTTATAATTAAAAATATAATTAATAAGTTTGCATATGTTTCAGCTTTCTGTTTGACTCTTTTGTCCTTGAGCAATTTTTAGAAAGCTCAAGAAGGTTATTTTTCCTGATTTCTTATAAAATTTCAATATGCCATCAGAAAACTTGATAAAAACAAACCCTGTTGAGAGGGAGAATTGTTTGGATTGTTACTGGGATATGTTTACTTCTTTTTTGAATTAACAAGCAAAAAATTGTATATATTTTTGGTGTCCAGTATGATGTTTTGATACACATTATGGAATAGCTAAATCAAACTATTTAACATATACATTACCTCACATACTTATCATTTTTTGGTGTGGTGAGAACATTTAAAATCTTAGCAATTTTCAAGTATACAATATATTGTTACTTAGGGTAGTCACCATGTTGTATGATAGATATCTAGAACTTATTATTCTAACTGAAATTTTGTGTCCTTTAACCAACATCTCCCCAGTCTGGGAGCCACCATTTCATTCTCTGTTTCTATGAGTTAGACTTCTAGATTCCACATCAGAGTGAGATCATGTGGTATTGTTTTTCTGTGCCTGGCTTATTTCAATTAACATAATGTTCTCCAGGATATGTTTACTTCTGATTCCTCTTAGGTGTTGAACAGTGATTGATGTTACATGAATATAACCAAACAAGAAAAAAAAAAAGCATTCACTCAATTACCATTTTTGAGCACCTACTATATAATTGTGTAATTGCCAATACAAAGGCATTTGATTAATTTTACCACCAGTTATAGACAATCTCTATTTAAAATGCAGGCAGTATAAGAACCATACATTTGATGGGTCTGAACTTCTACATTACTTTATTCTTGACCATGATTTTTTTTTTCCTTTTCTTTGTGTCTCCTTCAGAAGAGTGCTGCTGTTCTGTCAGGACACCTTGCCCCTCTTCACCAGAAGAGTTAGAAAAACTGCAGTGGTACGTAGCAAACTTTGTTTGCTTTTTTTAAAAAAAAATATATATAGGCATGTAATTTAATTTCCATGCTAGCTAAGGATTGCTGGAAATAGGGGAGTGAAGAAAGGCTTTGAATTTTAGGGAAAATGTCATTTTCTGTTATGAAGTTTCAACTGAGACCATTGCCTTAAACCAATGATATGTAATCTTGGCTGAGCATCAGAATTACCTGAGGAGCCTTATGGATATTCTGACACTGCACAGTCTTACCAACTAAATGTTATGTCATTCAAAAAAGTTGCCAGCTGGCTGGGTTGTGGCTCAGTAGTAGAGTGCTTGCCTAGAATGTGAGGCCCTAGGTTCAATTCTTAGCACCACATGTAACTAAAATAAAATAAAGGTCCATTGACAACTTAAAAAAAAAAAATTAAATGGCCAGGTTGACAGATGAGAAATGGCTTTTCAGTGTTGCCTCAGTTGACATTTCTCTTATTAAGACTGAGTATGGACATTTTTTTTCATATATTTGGGGATCATTTTGTATCTTTCTGTGAATTATGTTTTTATGTCTTCTTTTACTTTTTCTAATAGATATTTGATCAGTTTTTAAGAGGACTTTATATATTATGAGTGTTAGCTCTTTATCTGTGGTATGTGCTAGGGATTGAGCTCAGGGCCTTGCACACACTAGCCAAACACTGAGAATTCCCAGCCTTGTCCATTGTCTTTTTTGAATTTGTTTATCATGTTTTTTTCCTGGAAATTAAAAAAAAAATTATGTGACTACATTTATCAGTCTTTTCTTATATTGCCAGTAGATTTGGAGGCATGATTAGGAAGCCTTTTGCTATATCAAGGTGGTAGAGGCATTTTCCCTTTTATTTTTATATACCTGTGTGGTTTCATTTTTCACATTAGATTCATTGAATCTATTCTTGTGTGTGGTGTGAGATATGGATCTAATTTTATCTTCTTTCAAATGTTTAGCAGAATTTATTAAAAAGCACCATTTATTAAAAATTCCATCTTTTTCCAGGGGTTTGACGTGACTCCTTTATTATATATACTAAATTTTGATAGGATTCAGGAGGCTGAAGTAGGAGGATCACAAGATTAAGGCCAGTCTAGGCAACATAGGGAAACCCTGTCTCAAAACAAATAAAACAAAATAAACAAATATTGGTCTAATTCTAGATATTAGAAGAAGCTGTTGAGGGTACATGGAATTCTTATTACTGTTTTTGAAGTATTTCTGTGAGCTAAAATTTGTTCAAATTAAAATGTTTTAAAGAAACACTGATTCTTATTCACCCCTCAGAGATTCTGATATAATTGGTCTGGGACATGGCTTAGGTATCGAAAGCCTTTCTATTGATTCTAATCTGTAACTAAGTTGAGATTCACTGCCTTAAATTTATCTCTTCAATGGAGGAAAACTGGGAGATAGATGCTTCAAAATAGCAGAAGACTCTGACAGTTACCTATAATGTGATCACAGGGGTATAAAAAATAGACATAGAATAAAATAGGAAAGAAATGAATGAAAATGTTCACAATGGTTACCCATGATTGACTTGTCTACTGGCATGATGAGTATTTTTTTTTTTACTTTTTATTTCTTCTTACCATCCCCTGCTTTTCAGCATTTTCTAATTTTTTCTGTGATCAGATAAAAATTGTATTTGAAAAAAAAAGACATGCATTTTTTTTTAAATGTGAAAGCTTCCTATATAGAATAGAAGGCTAAGTGTAGTTTGTCTGCTCTGGGTGAGTTATATTTCTGGGGTATATGAAAACATTGAGCTCAAGGAATAGCTAAAAGTCTTTGGTTAAGGATTTATAGCATTTTTTTTTTTTTTTTGGCAATAAAATGTGAAGAGGAACATACCTCATTAAGCTTGACATCCCCTATTAAGCTGGAAGGTTGAGACCCATTTGGGGGATAGAATTTCTGGAAGCATCAGAATGAAAGCAGAAGATCATCCCTCTTTTGAGGCAGCCCTACTATACCCTAGTGTCTGGCTAGGGCTATATCATTAACTAGCTGTGTATTCAATTTCTAGAGTAGCTGCTTTTTTACCTTCAAAGTTCTAGGTAAAGTGAGGAAACAAATTAGATCTCCATGAAATTAGGAAGTGGATTAGATAAGCACATCTCAAATATTCCTGTGTCTATCACTCATTGAGGATCTGTTAAATTGCATATTGTAATATAGTAGGTATGGGGTGGGGTCCCTGGATTGTGTATTTCTAGCAAATCTCTTGATAAAAAGCCAGTGCTGCTGGTCCCTGGACCCCACTTTGAGAATTGAGAATCTAGGCCATAGAGCAGCTCAGTGGTTCTCAATTCTGGCTGCATTTTGGAACCATGCCAGGAGTTTCAAAAACACCAGTGTCTGCTTCCCACTCTCAGAGACTGGTCTGGAGTATAGTTTGTACTTCTGGGTTTTTACACCCCCTCCCTGAAGTGAGATGATTCTAATGTGCAGCCAAATTTGAAAACCACTGGGCTAGAATGATCACCAGGATCTTTCTAATGTATTGGTTCTTAAGATGGATGGTATGTTAGAAACACCTGGGACACTTTGAAAATGTGCTGATATATTAAAGTGGCTTTCTGGAAAACCTGTATGTTTAGATCTAGATCATATAGGTCTGTACATATGTAAAAGTTTATCAAGCTCTGAATGTCAGGTGAGAACCCTCTATGAGGGCCATATCTCTATGAGTAAGCATATTCAGATGGGTACAAATGCCCAGCCCCACTGCCAGAGACTGCAGGTCAGCTGGCACTTCTCTTTATGGTTGTGACTGGGCTTATGCCCCTCCACTTAATAGTCCTCCCTCCTCTCACTGAAGAGAAGCTCCAAGACACATTCTCCTTGGTGTTCTAAGCCTCCAAAACTAGGTCCATCAGAGACATCCCTGGGTGATCATTTGTTGTCCCCTCAAATTTTCCCCCCTATAGACTAATAGATCATGTGCTGATAGTAGGTGAGTTCTTCTCAATCTTTGATAGTCAGGAAAATCACCTGAGAGTATAAAAAATACACGTGCCTGGGACCTCCACACCCCAACACCTCGTCCCAAGACCAACTGCATCAGACACTAAGGAGTAAGCCAGACAAATCAATCTACCTATTTCTCTCTCTCTCTCTCTCTCTCTCTCTCTATATATATATATATATATATATATATATATATATATATATATATATACACACACACACACATATATAGAGATGATTTGTTTTTTAAAGTTCATTGGATAGTTCTCACGCATCGAGGGCAGATGATTTACAAGCTGGGGACCCAATTCCTTTGGCTCCAGTGTGATTTATCTTTGCATTCAACCAACTTTTCTTGGTCATTTACCATGTGCCAGTACCACTATGTCAGACTATAGCAGTATGAAGTTGGTTAATACAGATTCCTAGTATATGGAAACCACTTGGGTCATAGGGCATTTAATAGCTCCCTTCCCTAGTAATACATGGGAATGCTATAGGATCCCCTCAGTGGAGTAATAAATGATAAGGCAAAGAGCCCCAGAGCAGCTGCAAATTGGTGAAACAGAACTAGGGGGTCTAAAAGAATGTTAAAAATTCTTCCCCCTAGAAGTAGGTGGTAGAAGCAGTCAGGGGCCAGTGGCAGGGGCACAGAGGGTGTGACATGGCAGAGACTGGAAGTGGTACATCTTTGATGTAACCATGTCAATTTGGTGGTGTCAGATGGCTACCAGAGGAAGGAGATTCACTCCTCTGTAGCACATTTGTGTCTCACATGCATCTCTGATTTTTTTCTTTTAGTGATCTGCAGGATCCCATTGTCTGTCTTGCTGAATATCCACATGGCCCACCATTTTCTTCTGCCAGCAAACCCATCCCAGTTGCTCCTCAGACCACCATCTTTTCCCAGATATCCAGTGCCTTCTCTTTTGCTGAATCCCTTAATCATCCCCCTGTGACCCAGAACACTCCCTCTCTGACACAGAAGAATCATTTTTCTCTTCCCCAGCCTTCAGCTCCCATAGCTTCCAGCCCTGCCATCAATATGCCCACCCAATCTGGAACTCTCTCTTCCCCTCTGCCCCAAACCAATCCTTCCCATACCCCACCACCTGTGAAGTCCTCACTTCCCTCTCCCACCACACCTGCTCCATCTGCATCTTCAAATGACATCAGCATCAGCACACCTCCTGTCAAAACAGGTAAGTATAAGAAGCCAAGCTGCTCCTGTAGTAGTTAGGATTTGGCCTGACCGGCAGCTGCCGGCTTGCAAATCAGGATGTGTGATAAGACCATGTGGAGCCTTTCTTTTTTGGAAAGGGAGAAACATTTAGAAGATCTAGGCTTAGGTCCTCACAGACAAGGTGATCTGGGACAAACAGTTTGACTCCTGCTCTACCTATTCTATGTAACTGCACTGCGTTAAAAATGATGGCAGGCATGAGAATACTGTGGAAACTGCAAAGGGCTCCCAGGTGCCAGGTAGGCTTAGTGTTACCGAGATAAAGGCAAGATGGAAAGAAGCAGAGAATTCTGGATACTCTGGAGTTTCAAGTCAGTGTGTAAGAAACAGATCTTCCTCTACAATTTGGAGCCTGGGAGGCAAAGCCAAATTTTGGGTGACATTAGATTGAAGCTCAGGTGTTGTTTTCCACCCCCTCTGTCATGGCTCTAGCATCACCAGGAAATTTGGAGCTCCTGCCAAATGAGTTGTTAATTCTTCCACTTTGCAATACCCTCTCTTAAATAATTTTGGAAATAAATATTAACATTTTAGGCAAAATCATAGGATCATTAGGGCTCTAATCAAGGGAAGTTTCAGTGGCTGGTAAAGAATAAAGTTCAATTGAAGTTTGTTAGTCTAGGCCTGCAAAATCCATCTTTCCAAAGCTATTCCCATCTATCCTTAGAAACAACCTAAGGGGTTGCACAAAAACCATCAAAGTAGCCTCCTCATCCTATGCTTCTACTCCTGGGGCATCAGAAATGATACCTGCAGAAGATGCACATTGGAGTATTACCTGGTAGCCAAAAAGTAGATAAAACTTAATTCCACGGGAGAGGAATGATTACACAGGATATGCCGCCTCAACCCAGTGACTATCATGTAACCATGTAGGTCATTAGAACAGCTATATAAAAACTCTTGGGGGCATTTTTCAAGTCTGGATGTGAATTTAAAAAGGCCCAGTGACAGATATTTTGCTCACCATGTTTATAATAGTGTGAATACACAGGGATAAAGATTAGAAGGGAATATGCAAAATAATAGAATGTTGGTGGCAAAATGAAGAGACTTTTTTGCTGTTAAAGATAGGTTTATATTCTCAGTTAAATAGACTATAAAAATCAGGCTTAGCTGAGAGTCCAGCTCTCAATTAGATACACTATAAAAATTAGGCTTCCTGAGAGTCTAGCTGTTGATTTCTTAATTTTTTCACAAAAGGGCTTCTAGTGACCCACATAAAATCCTGTGTACATGATATAAATTAAATGCAAGTAGATTTGCAGTGGTGTGATATACACTAAATACTCTGATACGCTTTTATATTTTTGAGTTAGGTTTATTGAAGTATATAATTTACGTACAGTAAAATTTATCCAATTCTGTGGATAAATTAATTTTTTTCTTTCTTTGGTACTGAGGATTGAACCCAGGGACAATTGAACAGAGTTACCAGCCCCTCCCCCCACCCTTTTTTAAATTTTAAGATAAGGTTTCACTAAGTTGCTTTGGGTCTCACTAAATTGCTGAGGCTGGTCTTAAACTTGCCATCTTCCTATCTTAGCCTCCCAAGTTGCTGGGATTATAGGTGTGCACCACCACACCCAGCTAAGTGAAATTTTTATTGTTCTGTGCAGTTGGATAAGTACCCATAGTCATGTAACCAATATCACAATCAAAATATATAACTTAGCCGGGTATGGTGGCTCATGCCTGTAATCCCAGTGGCTCTGAAGGCTGAGGCAGGAGGATTGCAAGTTCAAAGCCAGCCTCAGCAAAAGCGAGGCACTAAGCAACTCAGTGAGACCCTATCTCAAAATAAAATAAAAAATAGGGCTGGAGATGTGGCTCAGTGGTTGAGTGCCCCTGACTTCAATCCTTGGTACTCCACCCCCTCAAAAAAAATGATATATAACTTTTCTACCACCCCTAAAGTCCCCTTGGGTCTCTTTGAAGCCAACACTTACCCCCAGCCCCTCCACCACTAATCTGTTCTATTTCTCTATAGTTTTGACTTTTCTAGAATGTCATATGACGAGAATCACATAGTATGTGGCCTTTTGAGCTTGGCTTCTTTCACTTAGCATAATGTGTTGGAAAACTGGTGATCTACCCATGTTGTAGACTGCATTGTCATTATTTCCTTTTTATCACTGAGTAATATTCCACTGTATGGATATATACTACTGGGATTACAGGTGTGTGCTGTAATCATGCCTGGCTCATGACTAAGCTTTCTTAAGAAAGCTTTTCTAAGCTTTCTTTCTCTGGGGCAATTATCTAAGATCGGGTTGACCAGATCAGATCAGGGTCTTTGTATGTTTATCTTTATTAGTGATCTTTCCATCATGTGTTCATAAAACAATTTTCCACTTTGATACAGAAATTTTCAACACCAGCAGTGTTTCTGATCTTGAGAACCAAGTGTCCCAGATGGAGAAGACTCTGTCCTTTGGCAGCTTGGAGCCTAACCTTGCAGGCGAAATGATAAACAAAGTCAGCAAACTCCTTCATTCTCCTCCCGCCTTGCTGGCCCCTCTGGCTCAAAGGTATGGCTTAGCAAACTAAAGAGGTGCTAAGAGGGGACCCTCTAATAGTAAAGATGCTGTCTACATGATGAGTTATAGCCAATTGTTTTTCTCTCAAGGACTAAGTTCGTTTGACTTCTCTACATTCTGCTTAGAATGGGGGAGACAAAATGAGAGTGCTAAATTTAAACTGCCGTCTCTCTTTACAGGTTGCTAAAAGTTGTAGATGACATTGGCTTACAGCTGAATTTTTCAAACAAGACCATAAGTCTAACCTCCCCTTCTTTGGCTCTGGCTGTGATCAGAGTAAATGCCAGTAATTTCAACACAACTACCTTTGCGGCCCAAGACCCTGCAAATCTGCAGGTACAATCTAATTTTTTATGGGAAAAGTATTTGACTATTTCTGTGTATCCTTAACATGTTTCCTTTCCCACTTGGAGTCCTCATCTCATTATTTCATATCCTCTTTTTCATTTAGTAGCAACCAAAGAGAGAAGCAGGAGCCATTTTATGTAGCAGTACCACAGATCAAGCCCTTACAGGACCCTCCATCTTAATTAGTCATGTTTTCCATCTCCTTGTTATACCAGTTCCAGACATTTTCATTATCTCTTACTTGATTTTCAGGTTTCTCTGGAAACTCAAGCTCCTGACAATAGTATCGGCATTATTACTCTGCCTTCGTCGTTGATGAGTAATTTGCCAGCTAATGATGTGGAGCTAGCTTCCAGGATTCAGTTCAATTTTTTTGAAACACCTGCCCTGTTTCAGGTAAAGTTGCTGCTCACTGCTTTTGGTTTGCATTTCATTTGGAGGTGGGGGATTTATTCCTTTTAACCCTCGTATATTTCTACACCTGCTACAAGTCAAATGAATTGCTGCAACTCTGCAGTTTATATTTATTCATAGCCTAATGGTGCTGGTGATGATAACTAACTGTAACAGACACTTACATAGTATTTACCAATTGCCAAGCACTACCCTAAGCATTTACTAATGTTGACTCATCCTTCTAGCAAAGCTATGAGGGAGGAAACTACGCAATGGAGGCACAGAGAGGTTAAGTAACTTGCTCAGGGACATTCAGTTTAAATGGACTAATATTATGTTCCTTTGAAGATTCATGAGGTCCTATTGTGTTAATCTATGCAATTTATCTCAGGATTTATGGCATTGTAGTGAAATAAGGTCTGCTTCTAATTGTGGTCCCTTGGGAAAGTCACTTTATTCCTGGACCCTCAATTTCTGACCTACTGTTATAAAATAATGTGGTTTAAATGTCTTTTGTGTCCCTTCTAGCTCTAAAACTGTGATCAAATTTTATTTTCCCTTGTCATCTTGCTGATTCTTTGGTGTTCTAGGACCCTTCTCTGGAGAACCTTTCTCTGATCAGCTATGTCATATCATCAAGTGTTGCAAACCTGACTGTCAAGAACTTGACAAGAAATGTGACAGTCACACTGAAGCACACAGATCCAAGCCAGGTGAGGAGAGGCCAGTCTGAGCTGCTCATTGACTAGGAACACCTTATGCAAACTATGTCCATAAGACATGACTTGAGAAAGACAGCAAAAAGGATCTTGAACTCATTAGACTCATGTGTGAGACTAGAATTGCATAATTACTCTGTAGGATCTTAACACACCTCGTAAATGACCACCTAGTATCCAAGAAGGATGGATGCAAATGCAAGCTCTTGTCAATTGCTGAATTTCAGTGCATGTAGGTCTGATTTTCACCTCCATGAGATAGCCTTTCAGCTCAGTTCACTTTGAACTTCAGCTGTGACCTCTCTATTCACAGTGTGGTTTGCATACTGGAAGCATCAGCATCACCTGGGAGTTCGCTAGAATGTAAGCTCTCAGGACCCACCCCAGGTCTACTCAGTCTGACTGTGCTTTATCAAGGTCCCAGGGCCATCCCTATGCATGACTGATATGCTTGAGGATTCATGACCTATATGGGGCTCCCTCTTGTGGGGACCACATAAAACAATAACTCTCAAAATCAAGCATGAGATTCTGTAATAAAAAATACCATAATTTTTTTCCCAATTGCTTTTCAGTTCAGAAAATTAATTAATTATGATTTATCTTTCTACTGCAGGATGACTTAACAGTGAAATGTGTATTTTGGGACTTGGGCAGAAATGGTAGGTTCTAGTCAAAACCTTGTCAAGATCCTGAGTGGGTGATTGGAGAAGGTGGGGAGTCATGGATGCTGTGGCCTTGCTGATAGGACAGATATTCTTTCTGATGCCAACAGGTGGCAGAGGAGGCTGGTCATCCGATGGCTGCTCGGTCAAAGAAAGGAAGCTGAATGAAACCATCTGTACCTGTAGCCACCTTACCAGCTTTGGGGTCCTATTGGTAACATGACCATGCTCAGTGGCCTTGTATTCTGGGACTGAGGGGAAGCTGGGCAACATATCTGGATATCTAATCTAAAGTATGACTTGAACAGATAAGCAGATAGCATGGTATTATGGCAAAGTTATATACCAATGAGATTACTTTTCTAATAAGCAAATGCATCTAAAGGAAAATATCTGAGTATGAATACAAACGTTTTTTCACATTCTTTTTTTTCCCCCATTACTGGGGATTGAATCCAGGACCTCACATATCATACAATAGGCAAGTGCTCTACCCCTGAGCTACATCCCCAGCCCTTTTTAAATTTTATTTTGAGACAGGGTCTCTCCAAGTTGCCTAGGCTGGCCTCCAAATTGCAATTGTCCTGCCTTAGCTTCTCGAGTCTCTGGGATAACATTCTATTGCCAGGCTCACACTCTACTTTTACATTTAAAATTTCTCCTTTAAATGACTCAGACAAGGAATTTAGATTACAATGGACAATAAAAATTGTTTAGTTTGCAAAGCATTTAAAAAAAATTTTTTTTGAAGGGGGTACCAGGTAGTGAACTCAGGGGCACTCAAACACTGAGCCACATCCCCAGCCCTATTTTATATTTTATTTAGAGAGGGTCTCGCTGAGTTGCTTAGGGCCTTGCTAAATTGCTGAGGCTGGCTTTGAATTTGTGATCCTCCTGCCTCAGCCTCCCAAGATGCTGGGATTACAGGTGTGTGGCACTATGCCTGGTGCATTTTAAAAATCTGAAAAACATTTTGACATAAACAATCTTTAATCTCTTTCACAGTCCTAAAAGATAGGTAGCATGGGGCACTGTTGTTGTTGTTTTATTGAAATTATAATCAAAGCTCATGGCATTTCCCTAACCATAGAATTAAGAAATGTAAGAGCCAAGAGCCAAATGCCAGTCTTTAGAATCCCAGTCCAGTGCTTTGCCCATGCATTGTAATGCAGTGACCAAGTACATGGGATTTAAAGTCAGGCTCACCTGAATTTGAATGTGACTCCTCCACTTCCTAGCTATGTGACCTTGGGCAAGTTGCTTAACCTCTCTGGATGACAGTTTCCTTGTCTTTACCTGATTATAATAATTGTGCCTACCACATAGGTTGGTTCAATGGACTACAGATGGATACCTAGCACACTCAAAAAATGTAAATTATGATTCATTTGTTTATATAAAAATATTTGATCATTGAAAGCATTGTTTTCTTCTCCAGGACCTATCTCGGACATCCTTACCGCCTGGTCAAATGATGGCTCTGACATTTATAACATATATTGGTTGTGGGCTTTCATCAATTTTTCTGTCAATTACTCTTGTAACCTACATAGCCTTTGAGTGAGTATCCTTAACTGGAAATTTGGATTGTAGGACTTGATGCTCGCCTCCATCACCAAAATGTATTAATTAAGCACTTTCCTCAACCTGCCCTGCCCTGTACACCCACCTAGTGGAGCACCTAGGTGTGAAACTTTATGAGGCTTTTTGGCTTCTCTGCTTGCTTCCTCCCACAAGTCTTCAAGTTCAGTAAAGGCAAGGATTGCAGCATAATTGTCTCTGTACCCCAGAGTGATGCCTGGTACCTAGTCGACATTTAGTGTGAAATGAAAGATGGGGACACACCCTGAAATCCAAGACCTTATAGTCTGAAATAGGCTACAGCAACACATGAAACAGAATAACTATGAGTAAATTAAGCTTCTAAATTATACTGAACAAGCATAAAAGATTAAATATATTAACTGGTTTAGAGATAATGAAAAAGGGTGTAAAAAACCTCACTGGAAAAAAAAAATAGATACTTGGTGGGTGTGGCTTTGTAAGTCAAAACAGGAATGACATTCCAAAAAATGGCTTCTCTTGGCTCACCAGAAAGGTTCCTCTAGTCACTTTTTGGGGAAAATTCTAACAAATTCTATTGAAAAAGAAAGAACTAGGCATTCTTGTTATATTAGCTAATTGAAACAATATGTAGATTCTGGGATTTAGATTTTGGACACTGATCAGGAAATGTACAAATTTATTTTCAGTGCCAAATTTAGGGTCCAGCTGTGACTACAGATCTTCTGGTGGACCTTTGGAAATATTCTTAGTGAGACTAAATTACCATAAAGCCAGCCATTACTCAGAATGATTTCACCAGTTCTAATTTTGCACATATAAACATGTACATGTCATCAATTAGCTGTATTTTCCTATGCCATTACATTTAGCTATAGTTTAAACTCTTTCCATGACCTCATTTTAATTAATAACCTAGGATAATATGGGAATCTGGCTACATTTTGAAGATCTGAATTTAGTAGTCTATTACATGAGAAGGAGCAGCAATGCTTCTAGAAGTAGTTTGGGAGATATGGGGTGGGTAGTCAGTAGAATCTACTACAAACTATTTAAAAGTATGGGTCAACAGTCAGCATGTAAAAAGTCCCACAGAAATCCATACACAAATTTTCCATATGGTTACCATAGATGATTTGATTAAGATTTTTCCTTTGTTGCTGATTTTAAAGTCCCCCATACATACACCCACTCAGAGACAGAGAAAATTTATACATATCTTAGACATTTACCAAAGAATAAAAATAAACTGCCTAGAACTCATAGATAGCCTGTCAAATATGCTTATGCAAGGGTTGGCAAAATGTAATGTTAACCTTTTCTTGCCCTTTCCTTTTAGAAAGATCCGGAGGGATTACCCTTCCAAAATCCTCATCCAGCTATGTACTGCTCTGCTCCTGCTGAACCTAATATTTCTCTTGGACTCATGGATTGCTCTTTATAACACAAAAGGCCTCTGCATCTCAGTAGCTGTATTCCTTCATTATTTCCTCTTGGTCTCATTCACATGGATGGGCCTAGAAGCATTCCATATGTACCTGGCTCTTGTCAAAGTGTTCAATACTTATATCCGAAAATACATCCTTAAATTCTGCATTGTTGGCTGGGGTACGTATAAATTTGCTTTCATATGCCCTGGACATTTTCTCTAGTGTTTTGATTTTTATTAAGGTAGAGACATGATGAAGCAGATCACATTTGGCAAGTTTCTAAAACAGCTTTCTATTCCTACAGGCTGCACTGTCCGCAGAGCTACCTTGTGTAATATTTTTCTAGGACATGGTATTTCCTCTAGATTTATTATGAATGTAGAACTCTTTGAGGTTGGACCATGAATCCTTGTTGTACCTCCAGCAACTGAATTTGAGCTAACACAGAAAGTGCTAGAAGGTACCAGAATGTGCTCAATAAATTAAAAATGTTTGTGGTAATGAGGCCAAATTCTCCATCCCTGAGCTCTTGGCTAGTCTTGTTCTGATTTATACCTCCCACATACCAGACACATGTATGAGAATGATGTACTCCAAAGGGCAGAGTAAAAGGATGTACACGTAAACCAATGTAACTTCATTGCCACACTGGCACAATATTTGAGATCATGTTACCTATTGGCGGTGGGTCACAAAGCCTTAGACTTCCCCAAGATTTTGTAGGGCTTCTTCAAATCCTAACCCAATGTAGGTGCCTCCTCAAATCACCTGATTTTCCTTGACTAAAGATAATCCAACTGCTGCTTGAACACTTCCATTATTGGGGAGATCATTATCTTACAAAGCAGCCAATGACCACTTTCCAAAGCTCTTCAGTTCCGTTTTCCCATTAAGTTCACTTGGCTCCCTGGAGACATTTACCAATGGTTTTGCTGTCAAGACAAAATCATCATCATCATCATCATCATCATCATCATCATCATCATCATCATCTGATACCTCTTCTGCCCAGGAATCCTTTGGATTATTCACAAGTAGTATAATGCCCAATTTTTCAAGGTATTTTCACATAAGTCACCTTATTAAAATCAAGCCTGTGGTGTACTTAAGGCAGTTTTTGTCAACTCCAGGTGAAGAAACTGGCTCAAAATACCAGTGTGATTTATCCCCAATTCAGAAGGCTAGAAGTCAGCCAAGCCTGCCTTTCTGATTCCTTGTGCAGGCCCCTTCTACTATATTACAGCTGCCACCGCCCTGCAGACTCCCTCTTCTTCAGGCTCAACAGTCCCTACACGCCAGGAGTGCAAACCTTTCATCATCCTTATCACCCTGCCTGTCATTCTTTGTGAAGAAAAATAAAACAACCTTTTCCCCTAACTTGCCCCAGAAAGATAAGTCCCTGTTCTGGATATTGGGCACAGATTCTGTCTTCTTTAGAGAAAGCTTAAAGGTCAGACGCCCTTGTGAAGAACAAGCTGCCCTACTATCACGATTTGATTTTAATTTATTTTATTTAATTTATTTTGTGGTGTTGGGGATAAACCTAGGGCCTTGTGCATGCTAGACAAATGCTTTGCCACTGAGTTATATCCCCAACCTTCCATTATTGTATTTTTAGGAAAACATCTTTCTTAGGAAATTATCATATGTCAATATCATTAGAAGGTTCAAATACGAAGGATTTAAATGAAATATTACATTGTACCAGGCATTCCAGCCAGTCTGTGAAAGCAATTGTTTTTTATTTCTCTGAGCCTTGAGTTAGATGGCTGGTTGGTCTGTATATATAGGTGAGGTGGTGGCATAGAGCAGGTGGGTAATGATCTAGAGGGATGAGAAGCCCTCTTTCCCAGCCAGAAACCATTTTAAACTTATAGGAACTTCTCATTTTCCTCTTCTTAAACTCATAAGCCCTTGAGAGAGCCAATAATAGTGGCAGCCACCTCCCCCATATCAGCTAGGATACGCTGGGTTCTAAATAATCAGGATTTGGGGGGATAGGGATTTTGGTAGAGTACTTGCCTCACATGTACAAGGCCCTGGGTTCAATCTCCATGCACCACAAAAAAAAAAAAAAAGAATCAGGATTTTGATTTCATTATGAATGATTCACCAGGAATTGCTTACTCTTAAATTTACATTCTAGTCATGTGTAAGTTAAGGGTAACACTCATTGCTATAACAGATAAGCCTTGAAATCTCAGATGATTATCTCCTGCTTATACATGGTCCAGTTACAAGGAATAGAAGAGTTTCTGGTCTTGCAGTTTTTCAGGGATCCAAGATGATGAAGACTTCCTGGAAATGGTGCTTCCAAGGTTACTCTGAGTTTTGGGGAAAGGAGAGTAAAAGATCTCACAAGGGCAGACCTGGAGTGGAATTTATCACTTCTGACCAAATCCCACTGACCAAAACTTAGTCATGTGGTGTTACAGGATTGGGGACTTACAGGAAACTGAGGCAGCAGAAAGCACCCCCCCCTTTTAAACCCCAATTCTAGGGATCAAGTCAGAAAGATTTAAGACAAGTCACTACAGTTATAGGTTTATTAGAAGGGATAGGAAAGGAGAAAGGGAACACTCTCAAGGGAGAGAGTGGGTAGTCTCAGAGAGGAGAGGAACAGCATGACTCTCCAGCTCTCCAGATTTATTGGAGATCCCAGGGAAGTTTCCAGAGAGTCCCGCCCAGATTCACCTTTTGACTTTTGACTGACAGCAGATGACATCAGACCTTCAAGTCCTTACTGCCAAGGCAACTTTAGATCACTTTGGCCTCTGCTGACCAGTTCTAACTGGAACCTATTCTTACAGATTTTATGGTTGGGGGAATTATCCTTATCTCCCTGAGTTCTGGGATCTGATCTGTGTAAAGGTCACAAAAGTCCCCCAAACTTGTGTTCTTCTTATCAGCATTTCAGGGCCTGAATTTCTCCTGCAGATAACAGGTAGTTTGCTAAGGAATGTAACATATCTTGTCAGCTTAAGCCAGACAGGGCTACAAGTAAATAGCTTTTTAAAAGTAAAAGTGTGTGGGATCAGCACAGTGGGCCCCATTTATAGAACTAATCCCCTAACCTCATGTTCCTACCACTTGCATCTGTCCGTTCCCTATCATGGCCATGCACACCTGGCTGCCAGGGAGGCTGAGAGGGTCTATCCATGTGTCAAAGAGAAAAAGAAACTCATTTGGTGAATAACCAGTCTCTACCATGCCACAAGAAGTAAATGGAATGATCTTTAGTCTTTTTTTCTCACCACCTTTGGTTGTTAAAAGTATGTGTGACCAATGTTTCCCATCTTCCAGGGGTACCAGCTGTGGTTGTAGCTATTGTCCTGATTATATCCCCACATAATTACGGGCTTGGATCCTATGGAAAATTCCCTAATGGCTCACCAGATGACTTGTGAGTACAAAATTCCCTGAGGTATTGTTAAGTAAACTAGAAAATAAAATTCTCCAAGAAAATGGAGGATCTAATCAGCATATCAACTCCAGCTGTCATCATAATAAAATCTAATCATATTTAACAACAGCCTTCACTGTCATATGTAATGAGATAAGGTAGTTGGAGATGCAATTATTTAACTAATGAATTAGGAAAAACTATATTGGAAATATTTTATTAGCCTCTCATAAAAATGAAACAAATTACATTATATTAATAAAGCCCATGAAATAGAATTGCTAGAGATTGCAAGGGTGAAATCCTGAATGTCTAAAAATATTTTTTGAAAATATTTTTAATCACCAAGTGTCCTAAGATAGATTCTTGTCCTTCAGAGCCATAAATGGTTGTGGACAACAGCGGCTTTATCATTTTTTTCCTCCTGTAGAAAATGTTTTAGTGATACATTATAGACTCAGTGTATCATGTAGAACACTATTTCATCATAGTAATGTGATTTCCCCTTTTTCTCCCCCCCCCAAATTCCAGTTGCTGGATCAACAGCAATGCAGTATTCTATATTACAGTTGTGGGATATTTCTGTGTGATATTTTTGCTGAACATCAGCATGTTCATTGTCGTCCTGGTTCAGCTCTGTCGAATTAAAAAGAAGAAGCAACTGGGAGCCCAGCGAAAAACCAGTATTCAAGACCTCAGGAGTATTGCTGGCCTCACATTTTTACTGGGAATTACTTGGGGCTTTGCCTTCTTTGCCTGGGGACCAGTTAACATCACCTTCATGTATCTCTTTGCCATCTTTAACACCTTACAGGGTAAGCTCTACACCATTAAATATGAGCTGAATGATCCCAGTTGTATAATAAAATATCACTACTAAAAGAGTATCTGCAAAGTAGCTTAGTGGTTTAAAATACATTCATTGTTAAGATTTATTGCTGAGAAGAAGAGCTTTGAGATTCTTGGAAGAAAAGTGTTCACTAAATTCAAGAAATTGTGCTTTTTTCCTCTTTATCCATTGTTATCTCCTTGGAGAGAGAAACCTGCCAGGAACTCTTCTGAGAGAGCCAATTACTCTTCCTTCACTTTCTTCTTTCCTTTTTTATTTTTTCCCCTTTTAAACTAATTTATTGAAGTAGAACCATAAAAGCACACATACTATACATGTCCATAGGAAGGCTGGCCACTTCAACCTAGGCCAGCATTTGATTTGGAGACATCAGATGATAAATGGAAAGGGAATAAACAGACCCAAGTGGCAACAGTCTTCCCAGAGGCTAATCCTTAGAAGTTACTGAGCTGACTCTGCAGCACGAAAGGGGCAGGCTCTGCATGTTGCCTTTCCCTTCTGAGCTTTCCATTTGTTAATGAAGCTCAACAAATGTTCCTTTTGGAACCCTCATAGTTGTATTTTTTTTTTAAGTTTTTGTATTTTTAGATTGTCTTTATTTTGTTTGTTTGTTTGGCTGTTGTTAAATATGGTGCTAATCATATTTAACAACAGCCTTGAACCCAGTGCCTTGCACATGCTAGGCAAACACTCTGCCATTGGGCTCCAGCTTCAGCCCCATAGTTGTATAGTTGTATTCTTTTTTTTTTTTTTAGTTGTAGATGGACACATTTCCTTTTATTTATTTTTATGTGGTGCTGGGGATTGAAACCAGTGCCTCACATGAGCTAGGCAACTGCTCTACAGCTGAGCCACAATCCCACCCCCATAGTTGTATTCTTTATGAAAGCAAATGACTAATTTTTTTAGAGTACTGTTATAAAACACTTGTCAGCTGTTAATTTTTAATGGAAGTGCTTTGGCATTAAAAGCCCAGCAGGCTAATAGGTTTACATACAATAACAATAATTCACTGTCCCTTGGCTTCCTTTTATTCCAAATCCTTGCTTGAGATTCTCATTGCAGTCTCTCATCTGCTTGTTTTCCTGTTGCTTTTAGCTCCCCTAGCACCCTCACGTAGTTCCATCAGGCAATAGATCATTTTGCTGGTTTTCAAAGAAATCCCACCCAGAACCAGAGTGGTGGTACACACCTGTAATCCCAACTGGGGAGGCTGAAGCAGGAGAATCACAATTTCAAGGCTAACATGGCAATTTAGTGAGACCCTGTCTCAAAATTTTAAAAAATAAAATAAAATAGGTTGGGGATGTAGCTCAGTGGTAGAATGCTTGGCTAGCATTTCTCAAGGCCCTGAGTTCAACCCCTAGGACTGAAAAAAGAATCAGAAAAAAGAAATCCCACCCTGATATGAATTCAGATATCTGATTTGGTCATTAGTTCTTATTTTATTTGGAGGAAGCCCCAAATATGCTTATTGGTTACATATGGTTGTTAATTTTATCTGTAATATACCAGTCTCCAAATTGGTATATCCAGGTATCACATTACATGGTATTAAATACCAAAACAAAAACAACAGTAGAGAAGAGCAAATTATTTCTAAGGGTTTTGAGAAAAATTTTATTTGCTAACAATGGCATACTTAAATAGTATATACTTTAAGACAAACAGTTTATATGCCCAAATCACATTAATCATTAACACAAAAAACTAGGTATCCACCCTCACGTTTAATGTGGAAAATGAACCTACCTCTTTTTCTGTATTTCTCCAGAAAATCTTCTTATTTGAGTTTGAATGAATAGAAAACATTTTCTGCTTCTTCTATAAAAGAGAAGTAATGCCTAATTCACAGTGCTTTTGAGTTGATTAAAGAGAGCTATGCATAGGTTCTGATTCGGGCTGTGTGCATCTCCATTTTGACCTCTCTGACACATGTTGTTTTCCCCCTAATGCAACCAAGGGTGGACTCCCAGGGTGACACTTTGAGGAAAGGATACAATATTCAGACAGCAGTCTTGAGGGTGGGCATGTGTACCCTATTAGAAGCAAATCTGGTATTTCAAAAGATTGTGTATTTCAAAAAGATTGTGTATTTCAAAAGGGTTGTGGAGAGAGAGAGCACCTCATAATTCATCCAAACATTCAGCAAATATTATTGGCCAAAGCCTTGGGGTGTGGCAGAGAGAGAGGTGTGGGGAGCCTTGGCCTGCATAACTGGGGATGGAGGTGGAGTCTGAGGGCCCCTTCAAATCTTCAGTTTGCTCTTCTTGCTGAGACATCCCTGGAGAATGTCCTTAAGCAGGTTGGTGGGCAGCAGGAAGATAGTTAATGAGTGCACTGGGTGTACCACCCAGGCAGGCACATTGGGAAAAGGCCAAGCAAAGACCTGACAGTGGGCCTGAGAGAAGAATGTGAGACTGTGAAGGAGATGACATTTGACAAAACTTGGAGATGGATTATGAATCCAGAGGGAGGGAGAGGTAGGAGCCAAGGACCCACCAAGGTGGATGGCTTATACTACCAAGTCAGGGAAGGCCAATGACAGAATGTGAGAGGAGAGACAGTGAACTTAGTTTTGGAAATGTGAAGTTATCATTGTTTTTATATATTTTTGGGTTTTGTTGTTGTTGTTGTTACTGGGGATTTAACCCAGGGGCGCTCAACCACTGAGCTACATCCCCAGCCTTTTTATTTTTATTTTTTAATGCTTGAGACACAGTCTTGATAAATTGCTTAGGGCCTTGCTAAGTTGCTGAGGCTGGTTTTGAACTTGCGATCCTCCTGCCTTAGTCTCCCAATTGCTGAGATTACAAGCTTGCACCACCAGGCCCAGCCAATAAGTATTTTTTATCTTACAAAAATTTTTAAAAATCAGGGGCATTCTCTGGGTGCCTTTCCATAGCAAGCCTTGAACTTAGGACTTTTTTAGTAAATGTGTAAAATTTCACTTTGCCTATAGCTGCCAAAGATTTTATTTTTTTGCAAAGTAAGCTCATGATATTCAGGTCTTATTTGAAATTTATTATGTTATGGTTTGTTTTTCTGTTTTCCCCCTTTAGGATTTTTCATATTCATCTTTTACTGTGTAGCAAAAGAGAATGTCAGGAAGCAATGGAGGCGCTATCTTTGTTGTGGAAAGTTCCGGCTGGCTGAAAATTCTGGTAAAAATTAACCTTACTTTTTCTCTTCCTCTTAAATCTCAAGGAAAGGATGTATAAATTAAACTCCAAAGCAATCATTGCTAAGGGGCCCTTGGATCTGAAAATCAAAAAACAGAACCTGTGCAACAGAAGCCTATGGATTGTGAACATTAGGGGGAAAACCTAGTGAATAGTGGTGTTTGGGAATTTTACAAGCAATAGAATTAGTGGACTGGCTGCTTCTTGAATGAAGGAAGCAACAGTGACATTTTTAGAATTTATTTCCTATTGAGTTCATGTTTTTCATTTCCCAAAGTAATTTTTAATATTTTCCTTCATAACTTTTTAAGGGTTGACTCAACTCTTTCTCCACAGGTCCTAGTTGTCAGTCACTTTATTTGTTAGCAGGCCAAACTTTGTATATAAGCTTTGTCACACATTTGGTTATTTAGAAGTTATTTTTGCATATGCTCTGTTGGGTGGTAGATTTTCTTAAAAATGAGAAAAATTAAGTACTGTTTTAAAAAGCAAGATTCCTTTTGTGTGAATATCATCCTTTCGGTACCTGGGTTGGGGGTGAGGAGCACTAGAGTCTGTTCTCAGGAAATGGCAATACACATAGGCCAGTCATTTCTATGGATTCAAGAAGAATTAGACATCACAACACAGTTGATTCCTGTTCTTGTGAAGACAGTGTGAGGCTTTGAATTAGTACCTAATTCAGTAGTTATTTATAGACACAATCAAATGAGCTTGGCTTTTAGTTCCAGGAGAACATAGTTTACTTTTAACCAGACAGTCATTTAAAGGACAAATGTAAATAGTCTAAATGAAAAAAAATCTTTTATCACACCAGCTTGTGAAATGTGTGACTTCTCTATAAGATCTCAAAGTGAGAAATCTGTTGCTAGAACTTGTTACACTGTGATCTGTCTCTTGCATTTGAGCTTCAACATAGGCCCTGTTTTTCTGTAATGCTTATTCTGCTGTAGACTGGAGTAAAACTGCTACTAATGGTTTAAAGAAGCAGACTGTAAACCAAGGAGTATCCAGCTCTTCAAATTCCTTACAGTCAAGCAGTAACTCCACTAACTCCACCACACTGCTAGTGAATAACGATTGCTCAGTACACGCAAGCGGGAATGGTATGTATGTCTCAATATAGTATTTCTCAAGCTAGTATTTATTTTTTTAAGTAGTTTTATCCTTTAGTGGTATTTTTGCAAAGCAAACTGAATAATTACATATATGACTAGTGGATCAAAATGGGGTTCCCTTACATAAAAGACAAGTTTATTTATCCAAATATCGCCCAAAGACTTCAGTACTGTGCTCTATGAGAGCAGTACCTAAAATAGTCCTTGAGACTATATTAATTTTTATTACATCTATAATCGTACACATCTTCAACACTTTTAAACCTTCCTGTTTTTCACTTTTCATGTTTGTTAATTCTTTCCCACAGTGTGGCTGCCTTGTGACAGCACCCAAATCCCCACAAATATATCAGATACTAGAAGATGAATTGTGACCAGTATTGGTGACCATATATGTCATCAGTATATGAACAGATTATTGCTACTGTGCCTCCTGCACTCATTAAGTCTGACATTTCTAGCTAAAACTTCATTACACTTTCTTTCTTTCATGAGACTGGGCTGTTCATTACTCATAAAAGCTTGCCTTCTTCTGCTTCTTAATATTATCTTTTGCATTTTATAAAAACCTAAGTTCTGCCAATATACTTTCTCCTTCCATGGAGAATTTATCTTTATTCACTGTTTAAGGGTGTTAGTTCTTTTCATGACTAATTCAAATAAATTTGTGAGAAAGTTCATACATTTACCAAATGGTTTTCCAGTCTCCTGAGGGTTGGGGAGCCCTGGTGGTTTGTTCAGACTTTAAAAATACAATAGGATGCCTTGAAATCAGTTTCTCAACCTCAGGTACAGGAGATATTTGGGGCTGGGTAATTCTGTTTTGTGGAATTGCAGGATATTGAAAGCAGCATCCCTGGCCTCTACCTAGTAGAGCCAGTAGTGCCCTACCCTCATTTGTGGCAACCAAAAACATCCCCAGACACTGCCAAATATCCCCTGGGGGATAAACTTGCCCTTGGTTAAGAACTCCTTATATAAAAGACGAGAAACTGCTGCCATGTGGCCTTGGATCTTCTGTCAATACCAGAAGAAAAGGTCTGGGCTCTATGCCAAATAGCTATATCAGGAATGATTCAATGTAGGCAAGCGGAGTAGAGGCAGTGGGAATCAAGGTTGGTTAATAACTTATTGTGAGAGAGCAAGTTGAAAAGCGAGAAATCGAAGAATGGGCTGGGTCATCCAGAAGTCTTAAAATTGCATGTGTTTGGCATTCTTCATCCATAACCAGAGTTTTCCATATTCTACAGAGAGTTCGGAGATGAAGCTTCACCTGCCTAGCCCTATCAATGTATTGTCATTCTTTGGGGAATCAAATTTGACAGAAGTAGCACATTTGACACAGCTGCTTGACACAGCTATTTTTGATGCCTGACAGTGAGGAAGGGGTACATTTTAAGGCCACCAGAATGGCTGTTTCAGACTACCTAATAAGTCTGTCAGATGAATATCCCTGATTTGTCAGTCCTTACATTAGGTTCAGGAATGGATGAGGAATGGAATTGGCAATTTTAAAAGAGACACTAGCAGCTGAATCGTTTGTTTATTATACTGGGACAAATTGTTCCTGCACCAAAATGTCCTCAGACCAAAATGCCTAAGTCAGAACAGCTGCCTCAGACAGTCACATGCCCTGTTTGAGCTGTGGCACAGATGGGGCTGCATTAACCAGATCCACCACCTTGTCTGCATGAATGTGACATATTTCAGTTCTAAGCTGCCTTAGATAAATCATATCACAGAGTCACAAGCTCACAGTGTGGAAGCAACATCCTGGCATGTTGATTTCATCCCTTCTGAGCCATGGAACTTTGGGCAGAGCACTTAATTTCTACAAACCTAATTCCATCATCTTTGAAATGAGCATAATAATATCCCATAGAGTATCTATCCCATAGAGTTATGAGATAATATTTATCAAGTGCTCAGTGCTGATATAATTACTGTTGTTATGATTACATCACCAACTAACAAATGGGCTTTTTATTCCACTTCCTACACAGTCTCCCAGTGGTATAGCATTCAGAAGGATGGTGCCAAGTAGCTAGAAGTTCTTGGAAGCTATGTAGCCCTACAATCTGGGGCCTACTTGGGGTCCCAGAGACCTGGGTCCAATGTATAGGTGTCACTGAATGCTCAGCTGCTCCCTGCCTGGCATCTTAGATTGGAATCTATGGTTTTCTATTGGGAATGAGTTCTATCTCAATTTAGACAGAGAGGCTGGCTTAGAAGATGGTCAGAGATTTCTTCTTGCCATGACTGTTATGGTTGGTTGCTCTAACTTTCTCTGCTAGTACAAGGTTTCATTTTATAGGAATCTTAGAGAAGCAGGAACCTTTAAGGGTATATATGGGGATCTCTGTTAGTTTTAACTTTGGGGGGAGATCAAAATATTGCCTTAGGCTATCTTATATGTTCTTGAAGTCAGTATGTTTTTGATCAGAGTTAGAAAAGGGGCCTAAAATAAAATATATTGGCTGGGTGCTGTGGCACACACCTGTGATCCCAGAGACTTTGGAGGCTAAGGCAGGAGAATTGCAAGTTCAAGGCCAGCTTCAGCAACTTAGCAAGGCCCTATCTCAAAATTTTAAAAAGGGCTGGAGATGTAGCTCAGTGATAAAGCACCCCTGGGTTCAATCCCCAGTACCAAAATAAATAAATAAACAAATAAATAAATACCTTGCTTTGCTTCATATTTTGGCCATTTCATTAAAAAGAAAGCTGTCATAGGAAACTCATTTCTGAATCAATCTCCAATTTGTTGTGCTTACTTTGCCCTTAGGAAAGGGATAGAATGAAAAATAAAATAAATATATATCAAATATTTTTAAAAGCTGTTTCATGTGTGCATATTTAAAGTGTTTACATTTGTTTTTTAATGCTTTCTGTGGGTACTTCATCATGCCCACTTTGTTTTTATTTATACAGGTAATGCTTCTACAGAGAGGAATGGGGTTTCTTTCAGTGTTCAGAATGGAGATGTGTGCCTTCATGATCTTACTGGAAAACAGCACATGTTTAATGACAAAGAAGATTCCTGCAATGGTAAAAGCCGTATGGCTCTCAGAAGGACTTCAAAGAGGGGAAGCTTACACTTTATTGAACAAATGTGATTCCTTTTTTCTAAAATCAAAGCATGATGCTTGATGGTGTGAAATGTCCAATTTTACCTTTTACACAATGTGAGATGTATGAAAATCAACTTATTTTATACTCAGCAACCTCTGGAGGAACATAAGCTAATGAAAGGCGATGGTTACTATTGGAAGGGGAAACCAAGACATTATTGTGACCTTTAGACATTAGCAATTTGGTTTCCGAACCTTCATTTTAAAAGAAGGTTGGTTTTAAACAACACAGTGAGAATAAGACTTGCATAAACAAAAACGTAGTTAATTTCCAGCTACATTTTAAAGAGGCTAAGTTATCTTTGATAACATCCTAGAAAGCAACTGTTGACTTCAGACTTTTGGTGAGTTTAGTTGTGCATGCCTTTGTTGTATATAAGCTAAATTCTAGGGACCCACGTGTCAGAAATCTTACTTTTACCTTTTTTTTGTATTTATTTTCTACTATGTAGATTTATTCTTTTGTAGAATCATGGTTTTATTGTTTTGTCTAATGTGATAACTCAGAAAATCCTTACTGATTCAGTGAATTCTAAAGCTCCTTTTGGAGATTATATGGATGTGAAATACAGAAACTTCATTGAAATCAAGAAATAATAATGATGCAGCCAGACTCTAATCAGACAGTTCCACAATTAGCTCATACAGTGCCTTTGAGTGAGTTAGAAAAAGGTACCTCCCTGGGAAGATACAGCCTGGTTTGGCAAGCAGAGTGGGGTCACGTTTTAGTCCTAGTCATATTATTGGGGACATCTTTATACAAGGTATGACCTGTACAACCATACATGACATCCAGTGCCAGTACCCATCCCCAGGCCACATTATCAGATTATGGAATCTGCACCAAGATGTTAAGCTTAATACCTTGGTCACAGAAAGGGAAGAAACTCTAATCTAGACCATATATGGGGAAGATTGTGAATGTGGAGGAGATACATACACTGCCACATCTCAAGTCCCCAGAGCCTTTCAGAAGAGGGGAACAGAGTAGGATTACTTTTGAAAAGAGAGATAGAAAGGAAAACAAATCATATTGCTGTTCTTTAAAAGGCAACTGCATGGTACATTGTTGATTGTTACCACTGGTACACTCTGGCCCAGCCAGATTTCTAATTATTTTTTAAAATGTGTCAAGTCTTAAAGAGTGTATAGTGACAAGGGGGAGCGGCTACTGAAAACAGTGAACTATCCCGTGATACTGTTGTTTCTATTTGTATCAAACCCTGATTGCTGTAGTCTTTCCTACTTTCCACCTATACCTGCTTGAGCAGTAACTCAAGTATGTCCTTACTAGGAACATTTCAAAACCCTTTAGTTAGATCTTTCACTAAGGCTCCCTTGCATATATTTCAAGTGAATGTTGTATCCCAGATTAACCATGGTAATAAGACATTTCTGAGTGCTGATTTGTCTTTGCAGTATTTCTTCTCTGATTTATTTAATTGTCTTGTATTTATGTGTTAAAATCAACAAACAATGTTAAAATGAACTAAATAAATTTAGTTAAGTCCTTTAAATTTGGTGACTTTTACAAAGAAAAACCTTTTGCAATTTCTTTCCCTGGCAACAGGGCATGGGAGTAGTAAGACATGCCTGATGAAGACCAACACAATAGTCATATCTTTGGGGAAACAGCAAGCACCCTGGGGATGAGAAATTAGAGCAAGGGTTGTCCTGTCACATGAGATTAGTTTCTGTAGTCTTCTTTTCTCTTTTTCTGTTACTCTTTCAAGAGTTTCTCTTCAGAGCTGGAGATGTGGCTCAGTGGGAGAGCACTTGCCTAGCATGTGTGAGGCCATAGATCCAATCTCCAGCATCACAAAACAGAAAACATACTACTACAAGAGTTTCTCTTTAATATTTGTTGCCATTGACCTCTAGGCAATTTATGAGACCTAGTTCAGATTCCCATCCAAGTGTCTATTTCCTCAGCATCAAACAATAGGATTTCAGGAAGGGTTGTAAGTTAGCATGCTGAAGCCACAAAGCGGGGAAGCTGGCCTCATCTGCTTCCAAGATCCTCAGCCCCCACAGAGGCCAAGCACTAAACTAATCAGGAGCAGGATGAGACTTCACTAATCAATCTCCCAAAAGGAGATTAAAAAGGAGGTGCAATGTCCATGTCCTTTAGTCCCCCCCACCTTATTTTTCGTATTATGTTTTACATCTAGCTGTGGTTCTTAAGCCAAATTTTCTTCTCTCTCTCTCCCTCTCTCTCTCTTAATTCAGAGAGATAACAGGGCAAGATAGAAAATGTTCCCAAGCAGCGTCCTGTTTTGGGTTTAAAATTGGTCCCACAATCTATTGTAAGAAAACAGAGGTGTTGCCCATATTAGGAGGCAGAGAGTGTCAGAGCAGTTGCCAGTCTTTGAAGAAGTATTTCCTCAGAACATTGGAGAAATTGTTTCCCCAAACACACTGTAGTCATTAATCCCACACAGGAACTCTGTTGACTGTAATGAGCACCATTGTGATTATTCTCCTCACAAATGGTAAAACTGCTCCACTTACGTCTAACAAGGTCAACTAGGAGGCGTCAGTTTGTTAAAGATTATGTCAATGAAGATCTAATTTACTGAATGACCAATTCACTAAGTGGGCTTGTTTGGTCTTTTTGTCTCCATAACCGTATTAAAGGGCAATTAATTTGTTTCTGTCTCATCTCGCTGCTGCAGTTGGAGTTGGAAGGACAGGAAAAAGGAAAAACTAAGTGGACATAAGAACATAATCTTAAATGTGAAGAAGTCTTATCATGTTATTATTTTTCACCTCATTCTTGAGATACAGCATCAAGAAGTCAGAGCACTTTCGCCCTAAGCAACTTAGGGAGACTGTCTCAAAATAGAAAAATAAGGGGCTGGAGTTGTAACTCAGTGGCATAGTGCTTGTCTAGCATGTGTGAGGCACTGGGTTCGATTCTCAGCACTGTATATAAATAAATAAATAGAACAAAGGTCCATCAACAACTGAAAAAAAAATGAAAATAAGAAAAGAAAGGGCTGGGATGTAACTCAGTGATTAAGCACTTGCATTCAATCCCTATTTACCACCCCCCACCCCCCCTCAAAGTTTGCAGATAAAAACAGAATATTTATTCTTCCAGAATATCGAGCATATATATTCTGGGGATCGAACCCAGAGCCTTGCAAGTGCTCTACTACTGAGCTATATTCCTAGCCCCAGAATATATTCTTTTAAATATATTTAATAAATATATACCTCACTTGAAGAAATCTTATACTCCCTGGGACTTCCTCTCCTTGCCTCTTAGTCTCAAACTAGCTACAGGAAGTTGTAGTACAGACAAATTCAACATTCTTTTAAAAAGTACTGTAATGAGAAATAAAATGATCCCCAGTCAACTAAATTGTTGTAGAAATAACTAAATTTGAAAAAATAGTTATTTTTAGCAAATTGATTCAGAATTGAACCTCTCTGGGTCAAAGATGGAGTGAGTGCTTTCATTTAGAGTTAAAGATCTGAACCCTCCAAGAGAAACATTAGTTTCTATCTTGGACCCTGATCTGTAAAATGGATTCCTAAGAAGCATCCAATGTGAACAAAAGTCATAATAAAAAGAAGAAATGATCCCAGCTTTTGTTACAGAAGAATGCATGAAAATCTAGTAAGAGTACATGTTAAGGGGCTGAGGTTGTGGCTCAGTGGTAGAGTGTTTGCCTAGCATGTGTGAGGCACTGGGTTAGATTCTCAGCACCACATATAAATAAATAAAGGTCCATCAACAACGAATAAAATATTAAAAGAGTACATATTAAGATTGCAAAAGAGATTTAATTTTAATTTAATGTCTAGCATTACTCTCTGGACCATAGCATTCTGTGTATCTAAAGTATGAGTGGCTCCTTGGGTGCTTTAGTTGAGTGGCAGAGTAAAGCTACAGATTTGTTCTGGAATATCTGATGTGAACTTGGATAACTAAACATAGGGGTCTCTGCTGATGTAGGACTGATTTTCAATCATTCATTGTCAACACTAATTGAGCTCCAACCACGTGCCCAACACTTTACCAGACATGGTAGGAGATATCAGACTGTTTCTTTTCTTTCTTTCTTTTCTTTTTTTTTTTTAGTACCCGGAATTGAACCCAGGGGTGTTTTACCACTGAGCCACACCCCCCAAGCCCTTTATTATTATTATTATTTTCTTTTGACAGGGTCTTGCTAAGTTGCTTAGAGCTTCACTAAGTTGTTGAGGCTGGCTATTTACTCACAATCCTCCTGCCTCAGCCTCCTGAGCCTCTAAGATAACAGGCCTGCATCACCACATCAGGCTTGATATCAGACTATTTTAATGAATACTTTATAACCCAAGTAGGAAAGCATGCCTCTTCCACACTTGAAAACATACAAAGGCAATACATTATTGCCAAATGATTTTTTTTTTTAAATGATGGGCTTTTCTGAGCCAGGCTTGTGCTAAATGGTCTGGATTTTCAATCACGCTGTGAGGTAAGTGGCAATATCCCCATTTTACAGATAAGAACATTGGAGGGTCACACAGCTAAAACAGCTGGAATCCGAAGTGACTCCCAAGTCCTCAGCTCTTCAGAAATCGCTAAAAGAAGTAAGAGAATGGGGAGGGCAGAAGGAGCTGAGCTAGCCATTAAAGCAAAGACAGGCTTCAGATGGTGAAGGAAGAGGAAGGGCCAAATGGATCAATACACTAAATGCTCTAGCAAAGAGTTTGCAGAAGCAATGATTACTTTAGTCTAGCTATCCAGTGGAATTCATATGTGGGCCAGATTTGGGTGGATAATGAATACTGGGCCGAAGACTGTGTACTTTAGGCAATTATCAGCCACAAGAAACTAACCAAGGACAAGTTTAAGTTATTAGTGCTGGAAGAGATGAACTGCGACCCGACCCCAGGGAACTGCGTCCAAGTGGCTAGGGCAGGAGCTCCAGGGTTGTAGCTGGGGGGTAGGTTCCGGCCTCCCCCTTTCTCTTCTAGGCTGGGTTCCACTACTTGGATTCCGTCCCGGAATGATCTCCGCCTACGGAGAAACGCTCAGGCAGCCACAGTGGTCCAGTCTCTCTCCTGCCATGGGTTGTCTTGGCGACCGCCTTGGGACCCTAAACACCACAGCCAGGAGATGAAGCCAGCCAGGTCTATGCCGATACTGCAGGCGGCCCCTTTTTCAATCCCCCTCGGGCTGAGACTCCGCGGAGGAGGCGGGATGAAGGCGGGACTAGGGGCGGAGGCTGCGGCCCCTTTACCAGTGTCCCTCATGCCCGGCTCCGAGGGCGGGCGGGGGGGGGGGGGGGGGCCCGGGACACCCGAGTGGCCGTTCCGTAGGGCCTGTTTCTCCTGCCGCTGTTGGGGTTGTCGGCCAGCTGGGAAAGGAAGGGGCTCAGCAAGGGAACTTGGTCCCCCAACCAAGAGCCGGGTTCTCTTCCTTGGGCCATCCCCTGTTCCCTCCCCTCAGCCTGAGACTTGGTTGGTTCCGCTCTGCGACGGGGGCGGGGCAGGGGGCGGGGCTGAATCAGGCCCGGGTGGGCCCCTGGCAACCGTGGCCGGCGGGCCAGTTTCTCCCTCCCCGGGGCCTCCTCATG